CTTGCTGTGTTTAAAGATGAAGACCGACGACGCGTACGCCAAGTTACGTGCGAAGGGCGACGACATGATGTGCGACCAGATACGTTCAAAGATGAGGAAGCTGACTGAACCCCAGAAAGGAGCATCGAAGAAGACGATAAAGAAGATCCTGAAGAAAAAGACAAGCAAACCCACAGCAGTTGTTGTCCCCACGGCAGCAGCAACACCCACAGCCACCACAGCGCCAGTCACCATCACCACCACCATCACAGCAACAACAGCAGCAGCGACAACAGACACCGGAACGATGGGGACATCCTTTTTGAAACCTGCAACACCTGCAACACCTGCAAAAAGACGATCACGGAAGAAATTATCTCTGAAGATCTCTCCTCAAGAACAGCTGTAAGTACCCTGCTCTTCTTTGTCTCAGTCATTCTTGATGTGATGTTGATGATGATGTCGATGTTGATGATGACTATACCTATTCATATGATGAATGGACTCTGTCCTATGATTGACAGGACCCCTGATGTCAGTTCAGCCCAGTCCGTGCTAGAACAGTGGTGGGAACAAACCCCTCGGGAGCCCACCTATTCACCGAATGCCCCTGTGACGATGGCGACGGGTGACCTTGATGATCATGAAGCGCACAAGCTGGTCACTCTCCCTTCCATGGATCTGGACACGCTCCCCCTGCTTGAGGCTTCTTGGTCACCAGCATCACCGGAAGATGTTCATGTCTACTCCTCAGGTATGCCCATGGTTTGCGACGATGATGATGATGACAACGTTGACCTGGATCCTTATGGAGAAGCTCAACTCACTCCCCTACAACGCGAATGTCGTGTTTGCCGACACAACAACATGTTAAGATACATCAGTTGCAACAGCGGGCAAGTGATGTGTTATGTCTGTTGTCTGGAGCTCATAGACTGTACTTGTATGTTGACCTATGACAAGTATGATGACATGACTATCACATCTGAGGATCTCATCTTATGGGGATCCTCCTCTTCACTCGAAGAACTTTACAACACGTAAGCTGCAACCGTGATCAAGGGATGTGTCATGTCTGTTTCAGGGAGGCCATAGACTGTACTTGTTTAACGGATGGACCTCTCACATGTTTGAGGGAGGACCACATCTTATGGGATTGAAGATAAAAGAGCTTGAAGATGAAAGAGGAAAACGTTGTCGCGTTATTGTTGTTGTTGTTGTAGGGACATGCAAAGCACTCCCTCCTCCATTGACTTTTCGTATTTCCATTGTATCTGGTTGTGATTGGTTTTTCATTATTAAACAGTGATTGATTGAACTGACTCTTTGTGTCTTGATTGATCTCAACTCCAATAGAGTGCCGAACCGAGGGTAGAGGTTGAGTTGAGATGTCGTTTACGTTGTCTGTCTGTCTGTCTGTCTGTCTGTGCATCTGTCATGTCAGTGCACACCAAAGTGATGAAATAAAATTAAAATAAAAATAGATAAAAGAGAGAGGCTATGCTTGAAAGATCAGCTGCCTGGTGTCAGTTATTCCAGTACGCATCGATCCCCACACCCACTGTGTGCCATGTCATGTCATGTATCATGTCATGCATCATGCCGTGTGTCCGTCAACCCAAACACAGGATGACGTCACGTGATGAGGTGGAGGAGGTGGAGGAGGTGGAAGCTAAGGTCATGACCTTCCGTTGAAGGGAGTAGGGTGGAGAGTTTCATAAAAGCAGGCGAACCCTCAGACCTTCTTTCAGTGAAGTCACAGTCATCATGGAGCAAAGACGTTCTATGAATGCCATGTCATCCTCCCGAGATGTCATCACCGATTCCGATTGGGTGTCTGAAAAGGCGGGAGAACAAGAAGCGAGAAAACGTCCACTCTTTATGGACGACACACTCTTGATGGACGACACATGGCGACTCAGTGACATTCTGGAGAGACCTTTTCCTTCTTACACCTTGTGTCATCCTTCTCATCCCAACTATGATTCATTTCAAGAACGTCTGAGGTCTTTTCAAACGTGGCCTAAACAGATGACCCAGACCCCTTATGACATGGCCATGGCTGGCTATTTCTATCCAGGACGTGGTGACCGTGTTATCTGTTATTGCTGCGGTGTGGCACTTCGCCAATGGGAAGCCACAGACCAACCCTGGAAAGAACATCTGAAGCACGCCAAAGTCCCCTGCGAATACTTGTGTGTGTTTTGTCCTGATGAAGAAGTGACCGAAAAATACAGACGTTTGGTGTCCCAAGAAGCACGGAAGAGAAGAGTCGAGTGTCTTGTACACCCCAAGTGACAAAGTTTCTTTTTTTCAAAGTGTACAGACGTTCATACCCTCGTGGTCACCCCTCGTGGTCACCCCCATGGTCACCCCTCGTGTTCACAAAAATCACAGGGATGTCCCCCCTCATCCTGTGACTTTTGTTTTGTTGTGTTGGTTCATGTGATCAGGGGGATTAAAAAAGAAAAAAAGAACTCATAGTCGTGTTATGTTGTCTGTAGGATGAAAAAAAAAAAAAACAGGATCGAAATGCACACCCCGATAAAAACCGGATCGAAATCGGACCAATCCAAGCCTGGGTTGTCGACCAATCAGAGACCGCGCTCGGACCAGGCGGGGCTCTGATTGGCCGAACCGGGGTTGTGCTTTCTCTCCCATGGTAAAATCCATTTCCTATGGAAAAGAAACACAGGGGTCGGTCCGTTTTGGAAAACCGAGGTGCAGGCCAGGCACCGGAACGAACCAATCGGGGGCGCTGCCTGGGGAACCAATCAGGAAGCAGGGTGTCAGTGCCTCTCCTATAAAAACAAAACAAGAGCGAAGCCACTCACACACACTGCATTCTATGAAACCCATCATGCCAGCTCGATACAGTTGTATGAAGTGCCAGACCGACCGTCACAGTTACCTGTACTGCCCTGAAGTGACATGCCTCGAGTGTCACGATCAAGGTCACCGTCACTATGTCTGTCCGAAGATGAACAGTCAAGAGAAGCAGAACCTGGGCCCCTGTTACAACTGTCAAGCCATGGGTCATTTCGCTGCAGATTTCCCAGAACCCAGTCGAAAGAAGACACCCCAACGCCCCTGTTACAACTGTCAAGTCGTGGGTCATTTCGCTACAGATTGCCCAGAACCTAGTCGAAAGAAAACGTTAGCAACACCGTCCACGTCGACACCCGTGGCATCCGTGGCACCCATGACACCCGTGACACCCGTGACACAAGTGCTTCATCTCATCGAAGACATGCATGCCGATGTCCTCGACCTAAAAGAATGCCTCACACAACTCCGTGAGAAAAGAAAACGGAACAGAAGCCCCTCAAGAAAACACGCTTAAAGCGCCGACGACACCTTCAGTCCGAGGATGAGATGGAAGTAGAGGATGAAGAAGATAGATCATCTGAACAAAGTGACTAACGCATGGGCCATGCTGCCCCACTGTTTTTACCAGTTTCCCATCGTTTGCCGTTTTTCCAGTGTTCCAGTGTTCCAGTGTTCCTGCCGTTTCCTGTCGTTTCCAGTTTCCAGTTTGTTTTCCAACGGCCCTTTTCAGGGCCACCCATCTCTCCCGAAAGAGCGCTTTCCTCCTTTGCTTTGACGACCCTCCAACCCCCACACCGTGAACCCACCCCCGCCTCCTCCCTCCCTCCCTCCCTCCCTTCAACACCACCACCCCCACGTCTATGTGTAGAACAACAACAACAACAACAACAACAACAACAAAAGATTTTTGACGCGCTTCTTTCAATGTCGATCCTGTTCACCTTTTACGTGCGTTTTCCCCATCCTCCCCGGAAACGGAGGTGCCGCCATCTTGAATGCGTACGCCACCGGAAACGGATGTGCCGCCATCTTGGAGGCGCACGCCACCGGAAACGGATGCGACTCCATCTTGGATGCGCACGCCACCGGAAACGGATGTGCCGCCATCTTGGATGCGCACGCAAGTCCCATCATGCACTGCGCAGGTCACGTGACCAGAAGTGACGTCACAGAGGTCGCACTCAGCAATATTCCAACTATATGACGGCGGTCTGTAAATAATCGAGTCTGGACCAGACAATCCAGTGATTAATATCATGAGCATCGATCCACGCAATTAGGACCGATGACATGTATCAACCAAGTCAGCGAGCCTGACCACCCGATCCCGTTAGTCGCCTTTTACGACAAGCATAGTCGCCTTTTACGGTAAGCATGGGTTGCTGAAGACCCATTCTACCCCAGAATCTTCACGGGTCTGATTTTCAGTGAGACACACAACATATTTTTTTTATTATCCCGTTTTGCCTCGTACATTTCGGCAGATATTATCTGGGGTTGACATTTTGATTTTTACTTTCGCCCATGACGTGACGCAAACCTCGTCCAACACGCGTTTGGCATACGTGGGCACCCGGAACACTTGTATCGTCATGAAACACCGCAAGCACCCAGAAGTTGTGAGTAACACAGAGTGCCAGAGTTTGGCATAAATGAAATACCCGCCATCATGTACTAAACAGTACAGGTGGCCCAGTCGTCTAAGGCGCCCCAATTCGCTGTGCAGATGGGCACTCCAGAAACCAATGATTGTGGGTTCGAATCCCGGTTCACCCCGAATAGCAGTTTCTTTGGATTGTCAGCACTTTACCCGTGCTTATGCGTGTTACTAAAGTGGTAAGCGTCTGGGCCCTGCATCATGTTGGGATTTTCCCCCACATAAAACTGACACGCGGTGTGAATACACTAGAAAAGAACTTTCATCCACCGAAACAGATTCAACTGGGCGTAAAAAATAGCTGTGGCAATTATATGAATGTACAATTGAAAATCAGGGTTGGCATTCAGGGTATCAAGCTTTCGAACATTTGAAATTAAAAGTATAAGATTAGTACTAAATAATGAGTCCCAAGTCAACAAGAAGGAGGTTCGATTTAAATATTTCATAAGTATAAGTCCTGCTTAGAAAGATGAATAATTGCATCAACTAAAAATCTGAAATAAAGAAGAAACTACAGTACTGTTTTACTTACCCTTTTCAGAGCACAAATGTATGATGTCTTCTGGAACTGCCGCTCGCTGTTCGAATGTTGGGTTCTTCTCCTGTTGCCACCCGTATCCAAAACAAATATAGAACAAGTCGTTAGTGTGATAAGGTTGTGGTACTAAAAGTAAAGCGGTTAGGTTATGATGATCTGTTAGCACCAAACCGTAGTCCTTTCAATTGCTGTTTTATTTACGTACTTATGAGGCTACAGGCCTACATAGTACAATGCATATACATTGTTTAGTAATAGATGAATCTTAAATACATTTTGTTTTCAGTTGTGCATGATACAAAATATTTAATGCATGGACATGGTTTCTTTAAATAAGTGAAATAGAACCCTTTAGCAAATCTGTTTTTAAATTCAAATTGACTGCATTTCATTATCCAAAGAACCCATAAATCACGTCAAACGAACACATTCATTGATAGAATATCTCACTGAATAACAGATCGATGTATCTTTTTTTACAGGCATGTTGTAATATCACGCGATGTCAATTCTAGGCCACAGTCAATTCCTCAAGAATGCGCGTCTCCTGCACGTGACCTGTATAAAGTTCACAATGACATAAGACTGTTGTAATGAATAGGCCTTTGGTTCAGTCTGTTTATTCCCTAGATGTATGCAAGTCAAAGGACCATGAATAACATATGAAAGACAACAGAGAGACATCGATGTAGGATACGATGCATGCAAACAATCCTACAGAAGCAGCAGCGCGTGCAAAACGTGAATTCTGAGTATGAAAGCCTAGAAGCACCAATTATCTAATACAATGACAAAAATGTAAAGGTAAACCACAGACCAGTACACTGCCCAGGCAACACATGACGGTGGGACAGAAATGACAATCAATCGGGAAGATAAGGGTCGGGATGTCAATTTGCCTAACAGCTTCATATATCCAGATGTTGAAAAGTTTCATTTGTAATCTGTGGAAACTCTATCGTCCGACTAAAGGCGTGGCGATGAGGCCTGGTCAGTACGGACGTCCCAAAACAAGTCTTACTTTCTCGCCTGCAGGGAGAAGACTGAGCGTCATGGGTGAGGCGCAGTGCCCTCGCAGTAGCAGAAGTACGTGCGGATCGTGACCTGAGCAGCGGATTGGCTGCGTTGTGCTTATCGAGTTAAACCTAAATTAAACTTAATCATTATTTACCACTTAACTCTTATCAAGAAAAGACAAACAACCGCGTTAGGGAAAAGGTCAATATTTAATTGACAATGAATTATTTATGTATTAAAACAATGTAAAAATACCACCGAATCCCCAAAACGGTTGTCATACCCTAGTCTACACTGAACCGCAAAAGAAACGTCACCCCAAGTATCATTGCATAAAATATCTGGGTACTTTTTGTCAAAGTTTCTAAGATTTAACATTACCTTGTCCGGAAAAATGAAATTTGATGACAAAAAACCCCAAAGCAGATGACAATAAAACCGATCGCCCAAACACATCACGGCAACGGCCATGATAACCCGATACACGTGGGTTCCGTGCAAATTGAAATGCACATGCGTTCCCCCATTTCTTGCCCTATAAAAATTCACCCAGATCGGATAACATTCATTCGTTATTGAATTGCCAAGATTGAGTAGAAATCAGCGACACCAAGCCCTTTGACGATTGCAAGCTGGACAAACCGCCCGGCAAGTAGCCACGTAAGGACCATATACAGGCTCCAGCAACGGTACCAGACCACCAACACTACTGATGACCGACCACGTAGTGGAAGACCAAGGGTTGCCACCCGACGTCAGGATCGTCAGATTGTGCGACAGCATCATCAAGATCACTTTGTTACTGCTGCGGAAACTGCTCGACAGACCATGGGGACACACCAGCGACACGTGCAGATAAGTGTGCCCATACTGCGAGAGCAACAAGAGACTCCCTCCAGCTGAATGGCATCATGATCAGAACCATGCAGTGGCCTGCCCTCAGTCCCGATATAAATCCCATTGAGCACCTGTGGGACGAGATTCAAAGACGGCTGAATGACGTCCGACCAAGGACGACAACTGTAGATGAACTGCGTCAGGCGTTCCTCAGAGTGTGGGCTCAAGTGCCTATGGCCTTCATCAACCGCCTTATCCATTCCATGTATCGACGTTGAACGGCAGTCATCAATGCACATCGCGGACACACGAGATACTGACTTGTGATGCCATTTTCTCAGAGACCAGTGTTGTGTTTCACTTTAAGAACATTTGACACTTTAATTTCAACCTTGATGATCAGTTTTGCCATGTTTCATCTTTTTAATAAGTCTCAAAGTATATTTACAGTGTTTGGACAAATAAGGTTTCTCAATATCTATTAATGGTGACGTTTCTTTTGCGGTTCAGTATATTTGCAGTTTTGAAATTTACACCTTCCTGAATTTTGGAAATATAAACAAACTGTATCCTTTCCCTGTGAGGTCTGTTTGCCTGATTTTACATTAAGTCTGCAAGTTGACTTGGCGCGACGAACTCTTCCGCCAGCAATTTCGAGAAAGAGTTATAGCAGAAATCTAGCTCTTCCAAACAGGTTTTGCAGTCGACATTCTCTTTGCACGTCATTGCCCTCCAGTCTTATTTTCTCGCCTGCAGGGAGAAGACTGGGCGTCTTGGGTGAGGCGCAGTGTCCTCGCGGTAGCAGAAACACGTGCGGATCGTGCGGATCGCTTACCGAGTTAAATCTAGATAAAGCTTTACTCATTATTTACCACAATAACAGATAGACCTGACTAATTTTATAGCCAGACAGATCTGAGTATAAAATAATAAACAGTGCGAGTCAGTGATCGAACAGTTAGTAATCGTTTAAAAGCTGCAGTCTATCGGCCAATGGTTGAAGTAAAGATGAAGCGACAGTACAATCTCATTAAAATGAGTTCTAAGTTCTCGTTGCCACAAAACAAAGATCTGAGGACATCCAAATACGGGTCACGTGAGAACGACCTTTCGCGAACTTTGACCGACCACTGAAGTGACTTACAAGAAGTCGACATTAGCCCGTTAGAAAGCAGCTTTCTCGAGCTCTTTCAACCTGGCGACTTCCATTTCAGACAACGCTTGAAAAATATGTTGACACAGTTCTCGATAAAAATTTTGAAAACTGAACAAACGAAAATTCCGGAATCTCTAATATATGGCTTCCCACGTTCTGTGCAATGCCTCCTCCGTTCAAACGTTTATCCCACGGAAGTGTGAGATAGACGATTATTTGGACGGAATCAGTCGTTCGGGCCGTAACTGTCGTCCGGAATACCCCGTGTTACCGTTTTAGAGGTTGCATGATTTGAAAACACGTTCCGACAGTCACTTTCACGATCTGGTAAAGGACGCTTTGATCGGGTCGGATGAAAGGTCGTTCTGACGTGACCCGTAATGGGATGTCCTCAGATCTTTGTTTAGCGATAGCGAGGACTAAGATCTGATTTGAATGACATTGGGCGACAGTACAAAGCGGTTACGACTGGAATGGACTTGACCTTATGGAGGACGACTGTTAAACCGTTGGCGAAATACAATGTTTGTCGATGAGTCCCGCTTCCATCTTGAGTTTGCATATTATCGAATCCGTGTATGGCGACGACGTCATTAACGACATCGTCATGTGCTGTCAGACAACATCACCGGTATGGTGGTGGGTCAGTAATCGGGAGGGATACGACTGCACCATTCCAGTCGGAAGATAAGTCGAGTTTCAACAGAACAATACTCGTCCACAAACGGCCTTCAACTCCAGAGCGACACAGTCCTCCCCTGGCCCTTCAAGATTCCAGAAGTATTCCCATTAAACATCTTTCTGATGTCATTGGGCGTGGCTTTGGGGATCGCCCAATCCAAGCACAGTCACTGAAAGAGTTGCTCCTGCTCTTCCACAAGAGCGGCTTGCTGTTCCACAGGCTGTCATTCGGAACTTAATCCAGAGTGTACCACGCTGATTCCAGTTCATCCTGACATTTGACAAGTTGGGATTTTGTATGTGCGTTGTTCCGAATATACAGCTTATAGCTTATTTACGTATATTTCTCGTTGTTCCATTGTTTGATTCCATAAGTACCGACCCGTGAAGATCCGGGATAGAATAGGTCTTCAGCAACCCATGCTTATCGTAATAGGCGACTATGCTTGTCGTAATAGGCGACTAACGGGATCGGGTGGTCAGGCTTGATGACTTGGTTGATGCATGTCATCGATCCCAATTGCGTGGATCGATGCTCATGATATAAATCACTGGATTGTCTGGTCCGGACTCGATTATTTACAGAACGCCGTCATATAGCTGGAATATTGCTGCGTGCGGCGTTAAACAAGAAACCAACCATAACCAACCATCAGTACCATAATCAATGGGTTTGGTAACAATTACATATCAAAATGATATTCATCTTTCAACATATCATATATTTGGTTTTTCTTTTCATATGATAGGTTTAGCTCATCGAGTGACCTGACAAAATCCATATTTACGTAAGTGGCACAGCTACGAGTGAAAATGTCAACGTTTTCAGATCACGTGATGAGATAAACATGTGATTTGAAAAGAAGAGGCGAACGTTCTATTCTAAATATAAATTGTCAATGCAAGATAATAATGTTATAAGGTTAAAAATGCATCTCAGAAACTAATGAAAACAAATAGAACCATTATAGCTGCAATGAGGAGTGGCATTAGATATAGTTTGTGACAGAACTTTTAGTTGGAAAGGAATCAATAGAGAAAAGACATTTCACATTTATCACAAGTGTATTCTGGACATTTCACATTTATCATTGGATTGGTCCCTGGCTATCGTCCATGAGTTAATGAAACAAATGGGGAATTTCAAGGCATAATTCATTTGGAGTTTCGGAGCGAGTCACAAAATCAATAGAGAGATGAGCAATCTGGCACGTAGGCTTTGGTATTTTTCCGATTACGACACACATGAGTTCATGGTCAGATCTGAACTTGTAACGAATCAAATGGAGGTATTGAGACATGTGACAAGGACAGGCCAGGCTCGAACACTATAAAATGATACCCTCAACATTAGGAGAGGAGAGCGCGGTCTGCAATCGATCGAGTCGAATCCCGATCGTTCTAAGTTTCCCCAAGCTAGTGACGAGCCTGGCCAGTCTGATCCTGTTCTGTAGTGTTAGATGGGCTGAGAGTAAGTAAAACTATGTGAGTATAAACTGGTGTTGCGTTTCTTTATTATGCGTGTGTGAATGCTGATAGAGACAACTTGGAGTAAGTGTCATTAGACCAATCACTCCTTGACGGAGCCGAGCCGTGGTGGACAAGGCGAGGGCAATGTCCTGGCTTAATTGACCACAAGGACCAGGAACGGCAATACATTTAGTAACTGTAGCAGGGTCGCACTGGACGCCCGAAAGCAGTTACGACATGGTGGAGTATGTGGGTTTTCTCTTGAACAAAATGTTTAAGACGATCCCATTCTTTGTTTTTCGTATTCCACCCAGACTTACGTTTGAAGGTACGGTTTCATTTTGACGCATGGATAGGGTATTCTGGACTTACATGGTGTAATGGCTGGTAATGTCTGGTCATGTCTCATACACCAAATTCTGATCCATCTACGTCAAGTGACCGTCTTGTCCCAACTCGCCTCCTTACTGGTACGATTTTCTCGAATTCCCCCCGAGTTGTCATAACTCAACCGCCCTCCCAACCACCCTCACCGCCCCCTCCTCCCCAGGAACCCTCGCCCACTATTTCTGAACATAGTTTGGACTTATCACCCTCTACCGACGAGCTTTTACATCTGTACGCTTGTGTTCTCCCTGACGTTTCCTCATTAAGTTCGTCCTCAGGCCCCGAAGCACAAAATCCACCCCCTGACTTCAATATGGGAGATTCGACCTTGATGCCTGAACATTTCACTGGCAAAGACACGACTCATGCTGCGGAATGGCTTGACCGTTTCCTTCATTTTGGAAACTTTAAAAAGTGGACTGACGCACAGAAAGTAGAAGTTTTTCCACTATTTTTGAAGGACTCTGCGTATCTCTGGTACAAAGATCTTATACCATCGCTAGGGGAAGATATCATCATTTTCGATGAGGTAGAGAAATTATTCAGGGACAAGTACATCCACCCAACTGACCGGTGGGCCCTTCTAGAATCTTTCGTGAGTCGTAGGTTATCCCCAACTGAACCTATAGACACGTATTTAGCGGATTTGACCCAAACAGCTAGCCTATTAGGTAAGACTGACATGGACTTGATGGATGCATTTGTTCGGGGACTGGATGACGGTACAAGGCAACACGTGCTAATGAAACAGCCGACGGCTCTGAACGAAGCTGTTTCGTTTGCACGTTTGGCTCGATCCATAATCCCTCAAATTTCAGAAAATACAGGTGTCAAGTTGGCAATTGATACTCTGAGAGACCAGATTGCTACACTCGCGGCAAAGCTCGCACCATCGTCGTCCCAGATTAATACCTTCCAGTCACGACAGAATCGATATTCCCAACCCCCCAGACAGTCCTCTAGGTATACAACTCGGCCGTGGCAGCCTCCCCGACAGCAGTTCCAGCCACTCTCGTATCCGGACGGACCACACCAGCAGAGAAGCCAGCCCCCTCCTCAACGCACACAGTACAACACGGGACGGACCATGGCTCGGGCACGCCCCTGTTACAGATGCGGTGGTGAGTATGATTTTTTCTCACCCTGATAGATGTCCCGCACGTAATGTAAGGTGTCATTATTGTCAGAGAGTAGGACATTGGCAACGTGTTTGTAATGCCCGGTTGCAGTCAGGAGCTCCTCAAAGCAGATAGCAATTAAATTCACGACCACGCAGGCCACCTTGCCACTGTGCTGAGCATGTTTTTGACCCCACTAACTTGCACTCGCGTGAGTCGCCGGTTACTATTTTACCAAGTTACAGTCGTCCTCAATCGCCTGTTTTACAAGTCACTTCAAAAAATGACAACAAGCATAGGATTCATGTTATTTTGGGAGAACAATTAGTTTCTACAATTGTGGATTCAGGCGCTTCTATTAGTATTTTAAGTCGGGAAGTTTTTTATGACTCGGGTCTGTGGAAAGAAATCCCCATTCAAAAGTGTGATGTGACCTCTCTTCAGGGAATAGGTCAAAATATTGTGCCAGTATTAGGACAAGTTTTACTTCCCATCACTATTGGTGATTTGCACATGGAACAACGCTTTCAAATAGTTGCAGAGTTAACGTCACCAATGTTTTTAGGATTAGATTTTCTGATTCAGAAAGATGCTGTCTTAAATTTCCAATCTTGCACTTTGTCGCTTCATAATGGCTCAACAGTTGTTCCCATTTGGGCAAACAATGATATCCCACCCCCAGTATCGGATCCCCATCCACAGATGGTAGAGCAGGAAACCATCCCAGTTCGAGCACTGCAGGCATTCACAATTCCCCCTCAGTCTGAAATCACTTTCCCAGTTTACATGGGTTGCTCCCCGTCTGATCAGGTAGGCACATGTGAACCTAACGGAAACACATCAGGTTTTTGGTGCTCGTTGTCTTGTTTCGGCAAGTTCAGGGAAAAGCGTATACCAAATCATTAACACTAACGATTTTGCTGTGGACATTCCAAAAGGTCATGAAGTTGCGCATTTCACTTTGGTACACTCCGATGAAATTACGCCTCTACAGTCACATTCCCCCTCAGAATCGGAACCCTCCCTCTCTCAGTCAGAAATAGACGCGAGATTAAGTGAGTTGAATATTGATTTTTCTTCATCCCACTTGTCACAGGAGCAACAAGCACAAATAGGTCAGTTGATAGCCAGGTATCGCGACTGTTTTGCCATTAATCTCTCAGAAATTGGGTTAAATGATTCAGTGCAACATGATATTGCTACAGGAGATGCCCCCCCGTTAGGCAACGATTTTACCGTACAAATCCTGCTATGCGTGCAGAGATAGATCGTCAAGTTCAGGAGTTGGTAGACTTAGGCATATGTGAACAAGATCATGATAGCCCCTGGGCTTCTCCAGTTGTTATGGTGCCTAAGAAACAGGCTAAGGGTTCTCCTCCATCATGGCGTCTAGCCATCGACTACAGAGTTGTGAATTCGTGCTCATTGCCGATACTATTCCCAATGCCGAGATTAGAAGATGTTCTTGATGTTTTGGGCACAGCACATGCAAAATATTACACAACCATAGATCTGGCAGCGGGATATTGGCAATTAGCGCTGAATGAAGAAAGTAAACCCAAAAGTGCATTTGTGACAGCTAGTGGTACCTATCACTTCAATCGTATGGCCTTTGGTCTGGCCTCTGCCCCAGCAACATTTAAAAGACTGATCAATGACGTTTTCCGCAATCTAAATTGGCGTAAAACAATGTGCTATTTAGATGATGTTTTGTGCTTTCTCCTCGGATTTTGAGACACATTTAGCAGATTTAGAAGAAGTATTTTTGTGCCTACGCAACGCAAATTTGAAAGCGAAGCCATCAAAATGCCAACATGCTAAACTGTCAGTTGCTTACTTGGGACATATTTTTTCAAATAGTGGAGTCCAAGTAGACCCTGAAAAAACTAGCGTGATAGCTTCGTTTCCGACGCCAACAACGCCAAAAGACGTTAAAAGTTTCCTCGGAATGGTAGGATTTTATCGTTGCTTCATTCAAAGTTTCTCCAAAGTAGCAGCTCCTTTACATTCATTGTTGCAAAAGGATACAAAATTTGTTTGGACGGAAGCACAAGAACAGGCATTTCAAACCCTCAAATCTGCTTTGCTAAAACCACCAATCTTAGCATTCCCAGATTTTGAAAAACCATTTATCCTATACACAGATGCTAGTGATGACGCTCTAGGGTATTTGCTCGGTCAAAAGGATGCCAGTAACAGGGACGTGGTTATAACCTACAGTGGTCGTGCTCTGTCAAAAACAGAGAAAAACTAGAAAGTGTTTTTACTCGTAGAAACATATGTATCCCCCCACTCCCCTAACCCCCATTCATTCGTTTACTTCACGTTAAACCCCATCTCTTCATTCCCACCCTCCATTACCAAATAACAGAGACAAAAATAGAACTCCTAGAAATTTCAAACAACTAATGGGCACCACTTCAGCGTCTAATCAACACCACTAATCCCTCAATCATTTACCCACCTGACAGTGTAGTCATCTAAGTAGCACAGTTTTCTTGTTACTGAAGTATTTGTAGAAAATCCACTTAAAGTACTAATAGAGTTTGGACACAAATATATTAATATCCCCAACATATCAGAAATGATGTAGCAATGTTATATGGCACAAAGGAAAGTCTCTGTGATGTAATTGCCCGTGTATCTGACTCTGCAGGTCTTCTACACAATGACATATGTGATGTCATGGAAACTGTAATAGCAAGGCACCACACCAGCTCTCTGATGTGGAAGATCCTTGACATAAATATGGTCAATAACAGTTTCTTTCCTGGTAGTGGACACTTCAATCAGCTGCGTGAAGGGTTCTTGCAGAAGAGGTTGCGCTTTGTTTGTATTGAGGTCAATGTTGAAATCTCCCAGAAGAACTGTACTGTTAGTCGGAGATAGGTCAAACATTCTGTTCAACTCTTGTCTGAAGTAGGGAATGGGAAGGGTTGGTGGTCTGTACACAGAGAAAACAGAAATTGATGAACACTGCAACTGGATGCCAAGGCATTCCAGTCCTACACATGAAGTGTCAATGACTTTGATGGATGAACATAGCTACTCCACCCTTTCCTCTCGTTTTCAATGAGTCTGGTACACTAGAGGCTGAGTTGTACTGATTTCCCCTGCTACATGTCAGAACATTGTGGGTAGGCAGTGGGTTAGTAAATGACTGATTTGGAAGAAGCCATGTTTCTTGAAGGGCTATGATGTCTGCAGCTGGCAGAAATCTATTTGCTGTGAAATCTTTCAAGTAAGGAAGAAATCCTTCAGTGTTGTGGCCCACAAGCACCAGGGAATTTGCATAATCAGGAATGTTTGGTGGTACTAGGTTATTCCATCTTGGCAAACTTGTAGCAAGCGGCATTTCTGAAATGGCATTTTCTACCCTGCTGTCTGCATAGATTCCACTTGGTTTATAATCGTCCTTAATGAGGAACAAGCCATTGAGTGATGTCACTCTACCTAGCGCAACATAAGCCATCCCTGCTTTAAATATTCTGTCTAATGAAACAACAGCCTTGTCTGTGGTCATTCCCTGCACTTTGTGCACTGTCACCGCCCATGCCAATTTAAGTGGAATTTGGTGACGGGTAACTTTAATTGGCTTGTGCTGAATAGGTTCTTTTTCAGGTTTGATGACCGTGGAACATGGGTCAATTCTTGGTGGAGGTGGATGAGATTTCCTTGCGTTGCGTCCAACTTGGTCATCATCAAACTTGACACACACAGCTGTAGGCAAGCCAAGTGGGCTGTTTCCTGCAATGATGGATGTTACTGTTCCAAGAACACCATTTGAAAGGCCATTTGAGCACAAGAGGACACGTGCACCAATGCAGAGAGTTACACGAGGTGGAAGTTTGGCGTTGTCAGTTTCCATTGGATTTGTTCTTTCGTAGGACTTGTTTCACCACTTCAGTGCTGGGTTAATGTGTATACAAAGTTTGGCGAAAAAATATTAAACGGTTTCTGAGTTATGGTCAGGAAACAAAGCTTACCCCCATTCAGAGCCTATGTTCAACTTATCTCCATGGAAACGAGAAAAAATAAAAATGTCAAAAATCTCTAAATAGCAAAAGGCACCACTTCAGTGCTGGGTTAATGTGTATACAAAGTTTCGCGAAAAAATATTAAACGGTTTCTGAGTTATGGTCAGGAAACAAAGCTTACCCCCATTCAGAGCCTATGTTCAACTTATCTCCATGGAAACGAGAAAAAATAAAAATGTCAAAAATCTCTAAATAGCAAAAGGCACCACTTCATTGCTGGGTTAATGTGTATACAAAGTTTCGCGAAAAAATATTAAACGGTTTCCGAGTTATGGTCCGGATCCGGAAACCAAGCTTACCCCCATTCAGAGTCTATGTTCAAGTTATCTCCATGGAAACGAGAAAAAATAAAAATGTCAAAAATCTCTAAATAGCAAAAGGCACCACTTCAGTGCTGGGTTAATGTGTATACAAAGTTTCGCGAAACAATATTAAACGGTTTCTGAGTTATGGTCAGGAAACAAAGCTTACCCCCATTCAGAGCCTATGTTCAACTTATCTCCATGGAAACGAGAAAAAATAAAAATGTCAAAAATCTCTAAATAGCAAAAGGCACCACTTCAGTGCTGGGTTAATGTGTATACAAAGTTTCGCGAAAAAATATTAAACGGTTTCCGAGTTATGGTCCGGAAACCAAGCTTACCCCATTCAGAGTCTATGTTCAAGTTATCTCCATGGAAACGAGAAAAAATAAAAATGTCAAAAATCTCTAAATAGTAAAAGGCACCACTTCAGTGCTGGGTTAATGTGTATACAAAGTTTCGCGAAAAAATATTAAACGGTTTCTGAGTTATGGTCCGGAAACGGTGGGAACGCCGACGCCGACGCCGACGGGAACCGTGCCAAAAACAATATGTCTCCCTCCATTCAGGGGGAGACATAACTATGGAATTACAGAAAAAGAATGTTTAGCAGTAGTATCAGGTATCAAACATTTCAAGGTATATTTGACACATGCCCCATTTACGGTAGTGACAGATCACAGAGCTTTACAGTATTTGAAAGACAATAAGGACCGCTCAGCCAGACTGAGCCGCTGGTCACTCTTATTGAGTGATTACACGTTCACAGTTCAGTATCGACCAGGCAAAAACTTGGGTAAAGCAGATTTCTTGTCCAGATTGCCTTACCCAGAATGCCCACCAGGGTTAGATGACCCACTTTCAGATGTCCCCTATTTGTTTGCTACTGATACGAACAGTACAAACAATGATATCGCCACGTCCAATGACCATGGCGACCAAATATCGATTGTGCCTGCAACAGATGTAACATCAGAGTTGTATGATGCCTCCACAATTAACGACCCTCTTAGTGTAACGTCCGACCCCCTAGGAGATTACTCCATAGCACAGAGGCAATATGACGACCATAAACTACGGGAGTTGATTGATTGCATTAAGTCTCAAACCTTTTCTACTGATGACAAGGCCACACGTACATTATTGTTACAAAGCCAGGATTTTATCCTTGACAATGACATATTGTACCACTTATATGCGCCGCCCGGCCGGGGCCACAGGAAAGACAGAATCATTCGTCAACTGGTGATACCTCAGTCGTTGGTAAAACATGTTTTACAAGCATACCATGACAGCTTGTTGGCTGGACATGTTGGTATTGACAGGACATTCAATGCTATTAGACAGAAGTACTATTGGCATCACATGCTGGAGGACATAAAGCAGTATATCATGTACTGCCTGTCAAACAAATAAACGTGACTTTCACAAGAGACCTGCCCCATTACAACCATTACCAGTCCCTGGTAAATTGTTTGATCGTGTTCAAGCTGACTTCCTAGGGCTGTTACCACCCACAGGATTGTACCACCAAAGCAGGTCATAGGTATGTTTTTTGTTAACTTGCGCATTTTCCCCATGGAGCGTGGCTATTCCGATTTCCTCGTTGGAGGCTGTGGAAGTAGCCAAGACATTCTACTCAAAATACATTTGTGTTTATGGGATCCCAGAGTGTCATTGACTGATAATGGCACTTCCTTTATCAGCAAAATTTTTACAGCGGTGTGTTCAATATTGGAGATCAAACTATTGAAAACTAGTAGTTATCACCAACAAACTAACGGAGGTTGTGAAAGACTAAATTCGTTTATCGTGCAAACGCTCCGCATGTTTATCAATGATAACCAGGACAATTGGGATGAGCTTCTCCCTAGTGTGATGTTTGCCTATAACACTAGCCCGGCAACGCAGAGTACTGGGTTTTCCCCCTACTTTCTCCTGTTTGGTCAAGAATGCTCAGTACCCGTTGATGTTGAATTACAATCATTTGAACCCCTACCACAAACAATTAAGCAACGGCTTGATGTCATTTTACATCATATAGACGTTACTAGAAAATTGGCGCGTACCAATTTACAAGAGGCTCACAACAAAGCAAAATATTTCTATGACAGGAACACCTCAAATCCCATTTTCCAGCTCGGAGATAAGGTATGGCTTCATTCCACGGCACGTGCTGTTGGGAAATGTAAAAAGCTAGGCCAGATATTCCAAGGACCTTTTTACATTGCGGATGAACTGCCACATTTCACCTATAAGTTACCCCGTTGTAATGATCACAAAGTCCTGAAAGTTCCAGTCCACGCGAACCGGCTTAAACGGTTTGTCAACCCGAAAGATAGACCAACTAACCCAATCCCAGTTGTTGCTACGGACAACCAAACGATTCCGTCTCAATCTGACAACAATCATACGGAGATGACCACCCCGACGCCTCAGACATTAACCCCCAAGCAGGCACAGAATCCCGATTTTGATTTACAGGAGGATGACGTTTTCATAGTAAAACGAATCTTCGCGCATAAAATAGTGAATGGAGAAAAGTACTACAAGATTCACTGGGAAAATTTCACTTTACAGGAAGCTACATGGGAACCCGAATCTAATATCCCTCAAGGATTGATTCGTGATTACATGATCCAGAAGTCATTAAAAAAGAAGCGAAAACGTTAGAATATATCTGACTATATTTGTCGAATAGTGTTTCAGATTAATTGTTATATTTCGTTTCCTTTTTAGTTCAGACACTGCAGACTTCGTGTTGGAGACGGTACCCTCTAATATTGATTTTTGCATATGTTTTCAGGTTTAGAATTACATGATGCTATATGCATGGAGCACGGCTCATATCGATACATGCTATAGATCATTTACTACGGTGTTAAGATGATTCAATTGTCACAAGGTTATAGGAAAATACAAACGTGCATATATGTTGAAAATGTGTATTGTAATTGTCAAATATTGTGTTTTGAATACTCCGAATACTCGGATTATTTACAGAGATGTGTTAAAAATCATGTTCATGGGTTATGGCCGCACATGTATTTCGCGGGCCACGTGAATACAAATGAGTTACAATATAAAGAAATGACGACTACGGGTCGCATGGTTATATACTCCTTCTACGAGATGATTCTGGCTGCACATGTATTTCGCAGGCCACTATAAAGCAAGTTCGCTTTGTGGTTATATACGAGAATACAAATGAGTTACAATATACGTGAAATGACGACTACGGGTCGCAAGGTTATACAATACGGTTACAAATACAATGAAGTGATATACGATGATGAGAATTGAGATACAGTCATGTGACGTGGAATACGAAAACGAGACAATAAATAATGTTGTGATGATATATGTTGATACTGTAAAAGAAGTTCACTATTGTTGGATGTTGCTTACTCGCACGGTTCCCAGTGTGAGATTATATATTACCTACTTGTGACAATTGTTATCATACTTCTAAGATACAGTCAGCGAGCTGAAGATTCGAGACGAATACAGTCAAACAGTTACTAGGTTTCACAAGACATGGAAACCTTTTCTTACAAAACATGAGTGATCTATGATATTTAGTTTGAAGTTAATAAATATGTTTATACACTTATTTCTTTGAATTTTAGAATCCAGAGGCCTCCTCCGACCAGTATGGGTCTTATTCATTGTCATCGCGTTGGTTAGCATCCAGAATCGGGTTAATTCCGTGCATACGCAACTCCGACTTCCATGGGGAGTTGTCTTCGTACATATGTCACGAATCGACATTTCCCAGAATAAGTGGATTCATATCTTTCAATATAAATTGCCTGATTTAGATGGAATGGGCAATAGATCAAGATATCGAGACTTTTGTTCCACATATACTTTGGCCTGTTATACCGTTTCGGCGATGGATGGATATATAGAAAAGGCCGAACGAGAGTTGTTCGCGTATTGGACATATGTCCATAAAGACATTAACCTGTTAATTCCCCATATTAACATTTTTCACAAGGATTCACGCACTAAACGAGCGATACTTCCTTTTATTGGATCAATAAGTCGTTCGCTGTTTGGTACTGCTACAGTCGAGGATGTTGAACGACTGGCGCGGTATGTTAAACAATTGTCGTTGCATGCTGCTAATACTTCTCGTGCTTTTCAAGTCCAAGTTCGTCAGATGTCGTCATTTATAACTAAAACAAATGAACGCATTTACTCAGCTCTCGCGGGTATTGAAACAAACCATAAAGATGTTATACTAGTCACTAAACAAATACAAGATGTGGAGAGATTTATTTTTATCACAATGAAAATCTTGTTAGATCGCCTCACGTTCCTAACTACTATTAGACAAGAAATTGATGAAATGTATTTAGGCATTCAACAGTTAGTTAATCAACGATTGAGTCCATCTTTACTCCCAGTTTCGGAAGTAAAGAGAGCGTTAAAAATGATTCAAAAACGTCTCAATGCAGAATACCCGTTGTTTCACGTTGCACATAAGGATCCAGGTTATTATTATCGGGAACGCACTGTTCACTGTTCACGGAACTCAAATTCAATTTTAATTTCGCTTATTGTTCCTATCCAGACTCATTCTACTCTCCTTGATGTATATCGAATAAATTCTTTTGGCTTACCATTTAATCAATCAAGTACACATGTCACACAGGTTATGAATTTACCAGATTATCTTGCTGTTTCGGAAGCTAAAGATCAGTATATTGAATTTTCGGCTAGGGATTTTCAAACATGTTATGGTGAACACGAAAAACACTGTCCAATTTTTCACAGTCCGAAACCAAAAACATCGCTCACATGCGCACTTGCTTTGTTTACTAAAGACACACAAGAAATTAAATCCTTGTGTGATACAAAATTCCGATTAAATGGGCTACGTTCAATGGCTCTCGAAATTGAACCAGGCACAATTCTTTTAACTGGCATAAAAACCATAATACTAACGTGCAAGGGTCGCATTGAGAAGCGTCCAGCTTGTCAGATTTGTATATTTAAAATTCCTTGTTACTGTGCGTTGAAACTGGATGAATTCGACATAGACATGAGAATTCATAAATGTGAGAAAAAGTCAACTGCTTCAAAATTATACCCACCTAATCTTTTACTTTTATCGGAATTTTTTAATGCATCCATCTTAAAAAACATTGATAGTTTACAGCCCCTTCTGAAAGATTCCGCTTTTAAGATCCCACATTTATTAATTGATGATAAAGTTTTCGATTAAATTCCTAGAAAGGACACAGAATTTCAAGTTGATTTACGCCTTATTTCTCAACGTATGAAAAAGGCACAGGTCATTTCGGATAATTTAATTGATGGTTATTGGATGGATTCCCTCCCACCTTACGCTTTAGATGGGGATTTAACCAACCCATATCACTTAACGGCAAGCATAGCCGCGGGTCATCCCTATTTCTCTTAATAATCGTTCTTTTCTTATGGATTAAAGTTCGACGCTTATTTTTTGCATTGACCTTACTTACAGCAGGCTCCCCAACTGACGGTTTGCCAATTTGGAAAACACATCCAACTACACCCTATCCAAATTATCCCCCTCCTTCATTTATGTCGTTGATTAAATCCACTATTTCCATGGATGTTTTTCTGATCATATCGACAGTATTTCTGGTATTCATTTTGCTTTTTCGAAGAATAAAAAAAGTCAATCGACCGGTTACGTCACTGGTTTTACATTTGACAAATTCCTTTGCTTGTCATGAAATTATGGTCTCACAATTATATCTTTGTCCCCGAGATCTCACGTTAACGGCTGGAAATCCTTTAACAAATTTTCGTATTCAGCGGGTATTTCTTACTTATTATTTACAGTTTGATTGTCACAATTTGCAAATTCAAACCCCGACACAATCTTTATATAAGAATTATGTAAGTTGGCTAATGGCGTTTCGTTTAAAACGATTCCTTCCTTCCACGACAGGTATTTTTATGGTACTTCAACATTGTGGAGTCGCCTTTCCGTTACGTCTTACATAATTCATATATTAATTGCCATCTGCCATGAGAAGATAAAAATTGAATTTCCTTTATCTAGACAGGTTATTCTTGCCCATCATATTACATATTGTAATGGCTTTGTTTTAACCATTTTACGGAACAGTTATTTGTGAGTATAATACACGCTTGTCAGTAGGGTACAGTGAAATATCAGAATATAAAATGGTTACGAATTTGAAATAGTTGATCATATTAGTTATCCCCCTTTACAGATACTGAATTAAAAGGAGAAAAGTTTATTTCTACTTATTACATCTCATTATTGTGACAATATTGAATGAATTACTTTTCTGTAGAGACAAGACCTGTATTTGGAATTTGGTTCTCTCATATGATGGTCATCTGATAGTCACTTGGTGACATTACGTTACATTATTCTACTATTGTGGATCTTCTATATTACTTTCTAGGTACAATTACTATCGGTGTTTCAATGTGTGCTCTCAGCTCATCCCATAATAATTATATATGTTGTTCGTTTTGGTGTTATTAGCTACAAAGCATTTGCTGAATGTTGTTGATTAGAATTTTATGATAGTTAGTCCGACTGTACTGTTCAAGCAGTCCATAAGTTTTGCGATTTATTCGTGCTTATTAATGTCTTTTTATGATTATATTTGTCTCTACGCAAGTGAACCTGTAACGAATAATCCAGAAATTCGATTCCTGCCAGATTGTTCCTCATATGCAGATATGCATTTGCCAGAAGACTATTATTGTGTATATAGTCTTATTTTTTACAGGCAGCAGTCTGAGCTGCAGGTGTCACATCTTTCTATGTATTGATATTTCTATAATTGGTATGGTATTATTCACTTGTTGTTCGTGAATTACCAGTATTTTTAAGTGTTGTAGATGATGTCCGTACCCCATTCTATAGGGCGGAGCGTCAAGCACTTCCCCCGCTGTCGTCTGGTCCACGCCAAATAATTATTCTGGCTCCTGGCTACACGCTTGCTGTCGAGGATGCACGCTGTCCTATCACCTCTGCCGCTAAACACAAAACGCAGGCAACAGAGAGTTATCTATATCTGTCAGCACCCCGACGTCTACATCTACAGGTGCTCACGACGACCGCATACACACTGTAACTCTATCGGCATACAACATCTTTAGAGAGCGACCAGTCAACACTCAAGAAGTGTCAAGAAAAGTCTCGCTTTGCCACCCCAGCCGAGGACCTGACTGTGTGCATAGACCGCGTGTTTTTCAAGGATTCAAGAACGTTGGACAGCGTTCCGCCAGTTGACTTTACGAAACAAGAAAGGAGCCAGTGAATTCGATTGGGACCAGCGACAAATGAACTTTTGTGAATGGTGGTGCCTTATTGTGGTCATGTGCAGTGACATTTGACTTTTATGCATCGCTATTAATTAATTCTACATGGTATTTGAATAATATTTCATGGTGTTTATGCTTTGGGGTTATACGAAATAACACAGGATCATTAACTTATTCTTTACCAGGTAAATACATGTTTTAACTGTAAAAGTATTCGTTGTTTTCGAAATCGTTATAACATTTGAAAATTGATGACAATTTAATATATATAATGATCGATCCTGTTTTACTTCCATATGTTTATTGTGATTGTATTTTATATCTCAGACCGGAACTCATGCTTAGATCTTCCGAGCTGTGGGCAGCTCTTAACCACAGGCGGAGGATGTTATAAGGTTAAAAATGCATCTCAGAAACTAATGATAACAAATAGAACCATTATAGCTGCAATGAGGAGTGGCATTAGATATAGTTTGTGACAGAACTTTTAGTTGGAAAGGAATCAATAGAGAAAAGACATTTCACATTTATCACAAGTGTATTCTGGACATTTCACATTTATCATTGGATTGGTCCCTGGCTATCGTCCATGAGTTAATGAAACAAATGGGGAATTTCAAGGCATAATTCATTTGGAGCTTCGGAGCGAGTCACAAAATCAATAGAGAGATGAGCAATCTGGCACGTAGGCTTTGGTATTTTTCCGATTACGACACACATGAGTTCATGGTCAGATCTAAACTTGTAACGAATCAAATGGAGGTATTGAGACATGTGACAAGGACAGGCCAGGCTCGAACACTATAAAATGATACCCTCAACATTAGGAGAGGAGAGCGCGGTCTGCAATCGATCGAGTCGAATCCCGATCGTTCCAAGTTTCCCCCAGCTAGTGACGAGCCTGGCCAGTCTGATCCTGTCCTGTATTGATAGATGGGCTGAGAGTAAGTAAAACTATGTGAGTATAAACTGGTGTTGCGTTTCTTTATTATGCGTGTGTGAATGCTGATAGAGACAACTTGGAGTAAGGGTCATTAGACCAATTACTCCTTGACGGAGCCGAGCCGTGGTGGACAAGGCGAGGGCAATGTCCTGGCTTAATTGACCACAAGGACCAGGAACGGCAATACATTTAGTAACTGTAGCAGGGTCGCACTGGACGCCCGTTAGCAGTTACGACAATAACCACCCTAGATTTTCTGAGGAAAACGATTTCACTTGGCTTAAAGGGCAAATAGCTGTGCAAATATGAATGGACCACTGAAAATCAGTGATGACACCAGGTGTTCGCGAAAAGAGTAAGTATGGCCTGATCTGAAACACAGTTTACAGTGTTATATTTCCATGAACTCGTTTCTCAATTCTATTCTAACTGTCTCTAAAGGTATTAACACAATCCTATAAATACCTGAAAGTTTCAGTCCCAAGGGTGTTTCCAACTCCCAGTGACAATCACCACGAGTGAGTGAGTGAGTATGGTTTTACGCCGCTTTTAGCAATATACCAGAAATATCAGGGCGGGGGACACCAGAAATGGACAATCACCACGAAACACATAATCGGTCAAATAGTGTATCCATGAGATACACATGTTTTTCAATGATAAAACACTGGATCTTATTTATTTAAATTTGTTCTACATGTATAAATAAAAAACGTCATAAATTGTTACACGAATCCCCATGCTAAATTCCAAGGCATTCTCAACGAAACACATGGTCTTCCATCATATAGGATACTCCTTGTTCATGTTGAACTCTCCTCGCTTGTTCACTTAATTAATGTGTTCGGTGTACTCCACTTAAAACCCGACCTCACCTGGCGAGTCGCCATTCACCAGCGCGATGCCAACCCGTGAAAATCCGGGGTGGAATAGGTCTTCAGCAACCAATGCTTGCCGTAAAAGGCGACTGTGCTTGTCGTAAAAGGCGACTAACAGGTTGGTTGGTCAGGCTCGCTGAAATGGTTGATGCATGTCATCGATCCCAATAGCGTGGATCGATGCTCATTATATCACTGGATTGTCTGGTCCAGACTGGATTCTTTACAGACCGCCGTCATATAGCTGGAATATTGCTGAGTGTGGCGTTTAACAACAAAACAACAACAACCGACCCTGGCGTGATATTGCTCAAATATTGCCAAAAGCGCGTAAAACCATACACACACTACGGAGTGCTTAGACAAACATTACGGTACTAATTCTAAACCTCCCGATCCATTCAGTCGCCTTTTAGGACAAGCATAGATTACTGGTGACCTATTTTAAACTCGGGTTATGAAGATGCTATTCATGATAACTATGGGTCTTATCCTACCCGGTATCGGGTCATGTACATCGTGACACTACATCAAATAGTAGTGTTAGTTTAGCTGTCGACCGCACGATAAGCTTTCTCAGTTATTCAACGATGGCGTCGGGAACAGGTAGGGGTAGAGTAAAATAGAGCACAGGGCCGAAAAAGAGTGACTGGCGTTACGACTTGTTATTACGACTTCTTGACATTACAGTTACTGTAGCATATAGCTGGAATATTGCTGACTGCGACGTTAAACAACCAAACAATTATTAAATATGGCCATGCCTGATACTTGGACAATGTACATTCATAGGTTAATGGCTTTGTTGGCATACAATGTGCAGACTTACACTGTCTTCACATGGTCAAGTATGTTCTACTATGTACTATGTACTTCTCACCTAAATACTTAATATACTAATTCCTACCCTACTGGATAGGATTTTGCAACCATGTGTGTTTAAAGAAAGGAATATATTATGTCCCATCCAACTGCGGTCAGGGTCTAGTTGCATGGCCGTCAAGAAGTGTGTCGGCCTAAGAAAGATACAAGCATATATAAGTCTCAATAAGACCTGTGTTTTGTGCTCTATGTTGAATCATCTGATCCTAATGTTTTACAGGGATAAATATGAATATGCAAACAGAATGAAAGAACGTTTATCAAAATACCATACAAATATGAAATACATATTATTCCGCGTACTTAGTGCATATCAGTTCCTAAAATTATATAACAATAATTGGCCACATGATATTATAATATGACTGCCTTCGGGTGCACTCGGCTTATTCCGTTTACTACATAATGCCTTGGGAAGACATGGAGTGGTTGTGATAGTATGATATCCATGTAACGCCAGTTACCGCTGCATAACGTACAAAATGACGGCCGATATTTAGAAAGATTTTTTAATTGTTAACAGAAACTACATTGATTGATAGTTCATAGCCTCACATAGAAGCAACTGTGTAATAGTGTATTGTGGCCTTTACATGATGCCATGGAGGCATATCCACACATAAATTAATCAGTTGAGCAAATTGTTTCGCTGTCAAAAATAAGGTGACCTTTGGAAAATGGACAAACTTGTAGGCGACCTTGGTCCTTGAAGGCTTGTGACGTTAAGCTGGGCCCCGTCTCTAATATCACAATATACGCAAGTTGACGACGCGCATAGGGAGCCGGGAACCAGCTTACTGTGACGTCCGCCACGTCCGCAACACCAGAAATGATAGAGAACCCACGAGACGGTGATGACCGACCCGCGAAAGACTGAACGTTATATTGCTAGTTAAGAAGCCATTTCCCAGGAGAGACTCAGTACAGTCCATTGTAACAGGCGCTTTGGCAGAGAAGAATGTATCAGCACGTTGGGCATCTGATAACACAAAACGCAGCAGGCAAAACATAACTCGTGAAAATTTAGATGTTTGAAGTTAATCCATAACAGAAAAATTCAAGGCCCCTATGGTTTTCAGTACACTGAACGTCCTAATGTTATCCGGCTTATGGTTACTAGTATTACTTTTTGCTTTGTATTTGTACCAGCTCTCTTGCAGTAGATATGGGTAACGTTCTGATGATACGTGTAATCACCGTGTGAGAGTATATCTTCCTGTATTGTTTAGACCTCTACCACGCCCCGACTGTCTGCTGCCCGTCTGTCAATGACCTCCAGCAACTTTCTGATGACCTCCGGCTGAAATGTTCCTCTGAAGAACTGGAGGCAATTTGTGGTAAGTTGACTTGAGGGACGGGTTGCCAAGTTGTCTGAAGCGCCGCAACTCGCTGTGCAGCCGCGATTCGCTGTGCAGAGTTGCGACTCTGAGAAGTGCCAGAAGTTGGGTATTGGGTTCGATTCCCGTTTCTCCCTGATTTTGTTTTTCTGACACCATACCCGTTCTCGGTGTGTGGGGGGTAGGGGAGTCACCAAAGTGGTAAATGTCTTAAATCTCCAGAGCTGATCTGCTGGCATGTGGTGATATAACTGAAATACTGTTTAAAACGACGTTAAAACAAATTCACTTGTTCGTGCTGATCCAGTTCGACATCGTTCGGTCAAACATTTAACTCGAGCATTAACATCATCTCAATATATGGGATTCACTCCACATGTACTGATGGTTCTGTTAACAAACGTTAAAGACGTTTCACTGTACGTTACCACAGCATTGCAGATAATTGGGACTAGACTTCTACTTTGGATGAGTGAGTGAGTGAGTGAGTTGGGTTTAACGCCGCTTTTAACACTATTCCAGTTATATCACGGCGTGTCAGCTTAATGTGGGAGGAAAGCTCGAAGTGATGCAGGTCTCAGACATTTACAACTTCGGTGAAACCCACGAGCACGGGTATGGTGCTGACAAAACTAGAAACATAATTTGTGCGAACCGGGATTCGAACCCACAATCATAGGTTTCTGGCGCGCCCTAGGGACGCAACAGCGAATCGCGGCGCTTTAGACGACTGGGCCACCCGTGCCCCCTACTTTGGATGAGTTTTGGAGAAGGTACCTTCATAAAGTGAGTGTCAAACAGTGTATGAGCTTGGACCTTGGAATGACGTTCATACAATGTGTAGCTCTCACTCTATGAAGTTACGTACTTCAAAACTAACACAAAGTGACATTCAATTCTTATCCCTATTGTGTACCTCGAAGGGTGAATGCACAATTTCATGTTAACCCTGACAGTCAAACAACAACCAGCGATCATCAATTGATGATACATGTAAGTAAGTCACTAAAACCGACAGTCATACATTTACTTCATGGACAGGACAAAATCAACTTGACGGTGGAGATTTCCAAAGTTGGCAATACACATGTGGTGGTTAAGTACTGGCGAATCACTCAAAGGCGATAATAAAGATGTAGCGAAAAGACACTGAAGTAAATTACATAAATTGCTGTACACTTGTTTTTTACTGCAAATCTAGCAACAGCTAGTGAGATTTCGTTGTTTTCAGTGGCATAGGTCGTCGTTGGATATTCGATCACATGCATGCTGTCAAATACTTTGACTTTTTCCAATGTATGTAAAAACGCTGAGTTCCAGTTTAAAATGTCCAAATGAACAGAAACAGCGATTCTGTATTTATTCGAGGTGGAGAAGTCCCAACGGTTTCCTCAGGCGTGTAGAAATGGTCCGTCAATGTTTACGTAATTTCAAGAATAGTCTGGTGAAATGCATATGAATGTCAAAATTTGTTGTCATTATGCTATGAACCTTGCATCAAAGTTTCGCAGTCATATGTCTGGCTTCTCGTCCAGTGAGAATGCCCTATATCGGCTTACCTTCACATTAGAAAATTATTCAAACAATGTTTAATGCCATTATCTTTCACGTATTATGAATGGTAGATAGTTTTAGTATCTCGAAACAATCGTCTATTTCATCTGTGTAAAAGGTTTGTCCGTGAAATATTTAATTATTGTCAACAAATCGACTAATCTCAGTTATTACTTGTGGCTGTTAAAGTCGCTACTTTTGAGTTTTGTTTGTTGTTTAACGCTGCACTCAAGAATCTTCCAGTCTTATAACGGCGGTCTGTATACAATCGAGTGTGTACCAGACAATTCCGTGACTGTCATCATGTGCATCGATCTTGGCAATTGGGATACGACATGCATGAAACAAACTAGCGAGCCTGACCACCCGATCCCGTTTGTCGCCTCTTACGACAGGCATGGGGTGCTGAAAACTAATTCTTACCCGCATCTTCACAGAGTCGCTACGTTTGAATGACAATAATTATTACCTTTACCATTGAAGATCAGTTCAAAGGTACTGCTGGCGGTTTTACCCGGTTATGGCAACTCCAGGAACCTTCACTTCCGGTAAAATATCCTCGAACTCCGGGTTACAAGCCGGTTCCAGCTGACAACCCGTACAATGCCTGGTAAGTTGCTGACGTCAGCGAAAATCAAACCAATGCTAGACAATCCTTCAACACACATGATGGGTTTCTCTTTGAACTGACAAAGCTGACGATTCATTAGATCATCATTACCACATTGACATACCGATATTTCCTCCTTTTCATTGCTGCCACAACACTTCCGACAATTGAACCAGTTGGTGATTCTGGGTCAAAATAGAACCCCAGTTTCGTGAAAACGATTTGGGAAATCGGCTTCTGTGTATTTTGCTTATGCTTTTGGCTATCAGATTGCCTGTTATAGGTAGGTTATTTGCAGGCCACTGTGATATAGCTGGAACATTGTTAAACAGTGTGTACCCAATCACTCATTGTAAGGAGTAAATATAAAACGTCAACGCAAGAGCGTCTCGATTATCACTGAAAATAAGAGATGATACAAAGGCATTACCCAAGTTATTACTTATTAAAGCAACTGGATTGGATATGGATCGCATCAGTTTAACGGACAGTTCTATTCCAGTTACAATCAAATATACGGTAAATACCTTTGACTTGGTACCCAAAGAGGATTGCTGATTTATTTTATGTATAAATCAAAATGGCCAACCACCTGACACTAGGTTTAAAATCTTTGGAACTGGAACAACATCGAGCTTATCACTGTTGTAGAGCCCGTGAAGTTCCGGGGTAGAATAGGTCTTCAGCAACCCATGATTGCCGTAAAAGGCGACTATGTTTGTCGAAACAGGCGACTAACGGGGTCGGATAGTCAGGCTCACTGACTTGGTTGATGCATGTCATTGTATCACATTTACGTGGATCGATGTCAATGATGTCAATCCCTGGATTGTCTGCACCAGACTCGATTATTTACAGACCGCCGTCATATAGCTGGAATATTGCTGAGTGCGGCGTAAAACAACAAACAAACAAACTGTTGTAGAATGCACAGACTACTGAGTAGAGGTTTCTGTTAAACTTTCTACGATTATAATTATTTCCAGGTATCGGCGATGTGACATCAAAGGCGCCGACAAAGGCAAGTTGGCAGGTAAAACAGTGGGCATCAAAGACTGCATTGCAGTGGCCGGTGTTCCGATGGGCGTTGGTACAGCTCTGATGGAAGGTTACACGCCAGAGTTCGATGCGACTTTGGTAACAAGGATCCTAGATGCAGGTTATACCAGACGTTTTCAAGAAACATTTTAACACAAACACAATCGGTTGACCATATACCAACTAGAAGCTGTGTTCATACATTAAATACATTGAATAACCAGTAATAGTTAAATAAAGTCTCAACCCATTGCATGATGTTCACAGCATATACAACACAAGTGAGCAGTAACGTACACAGTTCAGTAACGTACGATGCATTTCAGTAAGATAAAAAACGAGGTCAACTTATCTAGACCCTACAGACACATGTAAACCGATCCCACCATTTTTTATAATGGACATACGTATAATGTGTGTACCGTGCTCGACAGAAAATTCCAAAACATACAGCATGTGAATATAAAATTTAATATAAAATGTCACAGACATAGTGCATGTGAACGATGAATCGTGATCTTGTATGTGGTGACATTCATGTGGGAATTTTAAAGGGAACAGTTTTGAATTGTCAACTCTCTTTTTTTGGACCATCCATCAATAGCCACTTGCATATTCATGTTCACGTCTTGCCCTTCTTCAATTTTATTTCGTTAAGTTTAATGACTGTATGTTTAGCTTCAACGTCATGAAAGCGATTCCAAATATCGATATGAAACAATTCCTAACAGGAGGTCACATTATTGGCAAGACGTCAGTGGAGAACCTGTGCAAAAGCGGAAGTAGCTTTACATGCGCGAGTGGCCCTGTGAAGAACCCGTATGATGAAACCCGGACCACAGGTGGATCAAGCGGTGGCAGCGCCGCACTGGTCAGTACAGTCGAAACCCAGTCTGCAATAAAACTATATACGAAGTACATACACTTGTGTGATGTCACATATGTCCATAATATTATGGTTGCTGAATATACCCTCTATATACACTCTTCAAAAAAGAAACTCACAGGTCGATTTTTAGTAAATTTATTGTACCTAATAAAGTCGATATATTTTAGTTAATATCATAGATACAAATATGAAATTTTCGAGCTCGATAGTTAAATTTTGTCGTTTTTCAAGGCATTGAAAACTGTTCATTGTCATGTCACATAAGGCCACAAGGTGGCGCTGAACTCAGTATCTCGGGAGCAATCACGGCTCTGCATCTCCTCGGCACTGACTGGATAAGTGTTCGAATTATGTTCTGCGGATTTCTGCGCCATTCCGCTTGTAACGCGTTGTCGACCGAATTTGTTGAATTCACGTACACATTGGGGGGTAAAACGCTCATTTCGACGACGATAAACACGTTGTCTTCCATCTCGCCGGTGAAGAAGAAATCGTGATTCGTCGCTAGACCACACTCGTCTCGTTTCCAAGGCTGTAAGGTATGGCACCAACACAAGCGGCGCTGTCAATGGATCTATTGCAAAACAGGGACAATAACTGGTCTTCTAGGTCGGATTCCAGCCTCGCGAAGATGCTTCCTGGACCAGGGAAGCGTCCTGCAGTCTCCATAGCTGTTGCATTGCGATGACGTAGGTTGAACAGTCGATTGTAGCGATCCTGTGCAGGGGTGGTAACTCTTGGTCCGCCGGTTCTCGGACGGTCTGTAGTGGAATTGAACTGTGTGCATCGGTCACAAAGGCGGCAAATGGTGCTGTGGTGGACGTTGAAGTGGCGTGCAACAGAAGACTGCGATTCCCCTCTTTGGATACGTCATATGGTGATGTTCCGATCGGCAGCACTGAGTCGGCATTTTCGAACTTGAAAAATGTTGACAATTGAACGACAAATTATTGGCTTATATTTGCCTTTTAAAGCGACTACCACGAGTTACGAATGCCATAACTTGCACGTGTATTTTGCTTTACTGTTTTCCTCCATGACATTTTTGAACAAGTGTGAAAACAATGCCGTTTAAGACATTGCAAATCGACAATGGCTGCGTTTTGACGCACCGTTTGTCGAATATCAGGCCGCTAACATTTTCCAATCATATATATCCAATTTATATACCGGATTTTTTTCTGTAGTCAGGTTCAATGAACTCTATACTACCTGTGCGTTTCTTTTTTTGAAGAGTGTATTGTTATTTGGTATATATAAACCGTTTCTTATCTACGTGATGTATATATCTTTTGTAACTGAGAATTCCTTTGAACGCTGTGCTCATTTTATGACAGGTATCTATGGGTCTTGTGGATCTCGCCGTCGGTGGAGACCAAGGAGGCTCAATCAGGATTCCAGCCGGCTGGTGTGGCATTGTGGGCATGAAGCCGACACATGGACTGGTTCCTTACACTGGGGCCATGTCTATAGACACGACACTGGACCACCTGGGACCAATGACAAGAACCGTGGAAGACAATGCCTTACTACTGGAGGTAGACGGTGTTCCTTTTGAAACATGGACATGTTCCATGAACGAAGCATTACGCTGAAATGTTTACTCCCCAATTAGAGAAATGTATATATTGTAGGCAATGTATTGATTTCAATTTTGAAGGCATGTAACAAACGAGTGGTTTTGAAGTTAGAGTGAAAAGAAATTGCGTGTGGTGTGTCTCCATGAAAACCATCTTTTGTAGGAGAGTTGTTGCTTTAATTAGCCTGAAAGCTGCACATGTCTCAAAGCCCACATGCTTTCTGTAGGTAATAGCTGGATACGATGGAGGCAGAGATCCCAGACAGCCGGTCGGCCTCAAAGTCCCTCACTATAGCAAACAGGTGCGTGTGTAGTCAGCCTCAACGTCCCTTAGCATACGAAACAGGTATATGTGAAGTCGTTCGATCTCAAAGTCCCTCACTATAGCAAACAGACGCGTGTGTAGTCGTTCGATCTCAACGTCCCTCACAATAGCGAGCAGGGGCGTGTCTAGTCGGTTAGACAAGCATTTTACTGAAAAAGTGAACGTGTAACATTAACAGCAGCATCTCTGTTAATCATCATTTATCGTCATCCGTCCCCGTTCAGAAATTACTAATATATCTAATTCTGACTCAAATCAGACAAAAATGTCAGTTGAAAACAAACTAGTTTATTCTTTATACAAAGTGATTGCACATTTTATATATGCTGCAAGATATGTCAAACTCATTCAATATGAAATCCAAATATCGCAAGTATTTTAATCATTAGATTGCATGTAAGGATCGCTACATAACACGTCACTCACTCATTCCCTTCAGATCAATGTGAATATCTCCGGCAAGAAGATCGGCGTGTTGAAGGAAGGGTTTGACGTGTGTACGGAGCCTGACGTGGTGGAGATAGTGAGGAGAGAAGTGGATAGACTGAAGGAAGCAGGGGCAGAGGTGGAGGAAGTATCACTGCCCATACATCTGGATGGTAGGGTAACCATTTCTGCTATCGGGATGTGTGAACGAATAAGACTGAAACTAGTTCATACGTCTGTTTCATTCATCTATACAAACCAGAGACTGAAAGCTGGGCACAAATCCATGAAACAGAACAACCCGATCCGAGAACATTTTTTAAGATAATGAATTCCACCAGAAATGCAATTATTGGAACCTTGATAATCATTCTTATCAGTCTCATGAATGAACAACATTCAGATCAATATACATCAGCAACCTTGATAAACAATTGATTAAATATCCCTGAGGAATGCAGTAGCGCAATGATTCCTGATCCTATATTACGTCATGCTAGACTTATGCCATAGTGAGTGAGTTGGGTTTAACGCCGCTTTTAACATTATTCCAGTTATATCACGGCGTGTCAGCTTAATGTGGGAGGAAAGCCCGAAGTGATGCAGGACGTTTATCACTTCGGTGAAACCCACGAGCACAGGTATGGTGCTGACAAACCTAGAAACATAAACTGGGCAAACCAGGATTCGAACCCACAATCAAAGGTTTCTGGCGTGCCCAAGGGACGCAACTCTGCAAAGCGAATCGCGGCGCCTTAGACGACTGGGCCACCCATGCCCCCAGACTTATGCCATAAGCTGAAAAAGTGACTTATTATGACAAAAACGTTGACACTGACATTCATTACAATTCTTTCTTATTCCAGGACCTGCTATCTGGAACGCTATTTGTCTCCAAGGCACCTACAATTGCATGGTGAAAGGCAATGGTAAAGTTCAGGCGTTTAATAGACTTCGGATTTCTTTTCTATTAGAAGAGGAATATTTCAGGGCGATTCTTTTAATCCTTTGCTTTTCTGTTTGTCTCTTTAATCCTTGACCTCCTCAGCACAGATCTCCAAACACCTTACTAACCTCCTTAACATGGGGGACCTTGAACTTCTTGCCAAAGAAGAATCCACACTAAAACAACAGATTCTCCTTGTCGAGTTTATTTCTGATGATATTGGCATGTCCTTTAAGCTTGACAAATGCAACACTCTTCATCTGAAACGTGGAAGGTAGAAGAGAGAATAGCTCCGAGATTATCTTGTTCACAGGTTGCTGTCATGATATGGCGTAATACTCCATTCATTCACTTGTTCATAGGGACTGGCTATTTTTGGAAAGGCTTGTACCCCATGTCGATGCTGCAGGCTGCATGTCGGGGTGTTGCTGCTCGGCCCTATGATATGTCTATTGTCATGAAAGCAACATCTCTGACCTCGGAGTATCTCAACAGGAACTATCAGAATATATTCTATGCCAAGGGACAGAACCTCAACATGTTGCTGACTTCAGAGTACGACCGTGTTCTGGAAAAGTATGACGTCATCGTGATGCCGACCTTGCCATATAAGGCATCGAAACTTCCAAAAGTTGACGCCACTTATACAGGTACGGGGTATATTGCTTCATGGAATTATGAAAGTAAGGCACATCGAATAGCCGCAGAACCTCTCGGCAAAACATAGACGACTTGTGTGATCAGGTGTACATGTGGAGTACTTAAGAGTGAGTGAGTTGGGTTTAACGCCGCTTTTAACAGTATTCCAGTCATATCACGGCGTGTCAGCTTAATAAGCGAGGAAAGCCCGAAGTGATGCAGGTCTCAGACGTTAACCACTTCGGTGAAACCCACGAGCACGGGTATGGTGCTGACAAACCTAGAAACATAATCGGGGCGAACCGGGATTCGAACCCACAATCATCGATTTCTGGCGTGCCCAAGGCACGCAGCTCTGTACAGCGAATCGCGGTGCCTTAGACGACTGGGCCACCTGTGCCCCCAGAGTACTTAAGAGTGCTTATAAATAATTATACATTAAAAGGACATTTCCTTAACCAATTACATAAGTTGTATGAGGAGTATTCATTTTAACCACTTAGGTTACATGAACATTGTACTTGTACGAGCGTGGTTAAAAAACTCAGGGGGCGGTGGGGTATCCTAGTGGTTAAAGCGTTCGCTCGTCACGCAGAAGACCCGGGTTCGATTCCTCACATGGGTACAATGTGTGAAGCCCGTTTCTGGTGTCCCCCGCCATGATATTGATGGAATATTGCTAAATGCGGCGTAAAGCCATAATCATCCACTCACTGAAATGTTCTTAGCCTAACGATGAGTTGATGGATCATTGATCGTTAATCAGCATTTGCATTTTGCTTGTCAGATAGTTCTTTCTTCAAGGTTAGGAAGAGGTGGAAATCTGACTTTGCCAAATCTGGTGGATGATGTTCAGAGTCACAGTTATGCTTTGCAAGCCATGAGCACAGGTGCATTCTCCTGATGGACCAGCACACCTTTAGTCAGTTTTCGATGACGTTTAACCTTGATATTCCGGGTGATCAGGCTCGATGACTTGGTTGATGCATGTCATCGTATCCCAACTGTGTAGATCGATGCTCATGCGATCAATCATTGGATTGTTTGCAGACGGCCGTTATATAGATGGAATATTGCTGAGTGCGGCGTTAAACATGAAACAAACAAACCAATTGCGTGGATCGATGCTCATGATGTCAATCAATGAATTGTCAGGTCAAGGCTTCATGATTTACAGACCGCCGTCATAGCGCTGGAATATTGCTGAGTGCGGCGTTAAACAACAAACAAACAATCATTATCTTTTGTCTTTTTTTCGAATCAAAATGTCAAAAAGTGATAAAATAATTTCATTATCTGTTGTGGGGATCAGCGAATACATCATTCAAATTTTACAGAAAATGAAACATTTAACGACTTCGCAAGTGGTGCAACTTATACAATTATGGATTTTCAGAGTTACTCAAGGTTAGTCATTCCATGAACCTGAACACCTCGCCATTTGATTGTACCGGGCATCCTGCTCTCTCCATCAACGCAGGCTTCAGCGATGGACTTCCGGTTGGGATGATGATTGTTGGCCGCCATTTTGACGAAACCACAGTCTACCAAGTGGCGAGAGCCTACGAAGAGATCCGAGACAAGTAAAACTTATTCTGATCTTAAAAGCAGGACACATGACTAATTAAAATCAATTAACATACTCGACATTATCGGAAACAGAACCTGAAGAAACGTTTATTTCTAAATTATATGTTTTAAATATATAGGGTAAGTTTCTGAGCAGTGTCCGTCGGGATCACTTGCGGGTATATTTGCAAATAAAATGTAAAACAAAAAGGTTTACAAATAAACTTAGCGTCACCCTTATCGGCCATCGAGTCGGAAGTGACCATCGAACCTTTTACTGGGATAATAGATCACAGTTAAATTTAGTCATTTCTTGTTTCAGATCTGGACTGATCACTGAGGGCAACTTGAACGACGTCGTGTAACTAAGACATAACCAATGCCTATCGCCGAGTAAATGAAGTCGCACACAGAAGAGTTAACCAAAACAAACTTTCAGTTTGTAGATATGTGTTCAAACGTTCGTTGAAGAACATTGCTACCTCATTCCATTAGTTAATCTGTATCCAAATAATACCCGAAGACAAATTTCAATTGGAACTATGTTGCCTGTTGTCTCTGTCCGACTGACTTATCGCAGATCTTGTGACGTAATATGTTAATGCGCACATTCCAGGAAAACGCCTGTAGACCGTTTGTGACAGATGAAAATACAATGTTAACTTGTAATACAGGTTTCAAGACAAATTTCAGTTGGAACTATGTTGCCTGTTGTCTCTGTCCGATGACTTATCGCAGATCTTGTGACGTAATATGTTAATGCGCACATTCCAGGAAAACGCCTGTAGACCGTTTGTGAGAGATAAGAGTACAATGTAATACAGGTTTCGGGATGGTAAATGTCCTGTATTAGTAAGGAACACTGGCAAAATACAATGTTTACTTGTAATACAGGTTTCGGGATGGTAAATGTCCTGTGTTAGGAATAAACACTGGCCAAATACAATGTTTTCTTGTAATGCAGGTTTCGGGATGGAAAATGTCCTGTGTTAGGAATAAACACTGGCCAAATACAATGTTTATTTTTTAATGCAGGTTTCGCAATGGTAAATGCCCATTTTGATAAAACTCAGCGACAGTACTGGCAAAAAGGATGATAATGGGTACAAAGGATCAGTTGGTCCTGGATGCGGGACATACGGTAATCTGCGAACCTTCTTTCTTATTAGGCATGATCTCATTCGAACTTATGACATCAGTTTGTTTGTTGTTTAACGCCTCACAATTCCAGCTAAATAATCGAGTCTGGACCAGACAACCCCGTGATTCAACCAAGTCAACGAGCCTGACCACCCGTTGCACTTAGTCGCCTTTTACGACAAGCATCGTCACCTTTTACGGCAAGCATGGGTTGCTGAAGACCTATTCTACCCTGGATCTTTACGGGTCCGTTCACTCAAGAAAAAGCATTGAAATCATTTATTTTTTTTAAAAGAAAGAAAATGAGTAAAACTTCCTTTTCGGTTAACGGATTTTGATAGTTAAAAGTGTGGTTGAGCTGCAAAAACAATAAGAATGCATTTTACACAATTTTCCCGTGAACAGCTGTTCATAAATAAGGATATCAAAACACAGGTATATGCACCTGTCACCCTACCACTTTCACACCTGGATGAGCATGACGATACCTGTTGTACATATCAGGGAATACTAATTAAAGTCGTCCTATTGTCAGTTGAAGTGAATTTTAGAATCATAAACACGGTTCATAATTAGACATACCGAACTGTTTAAGCATTGAAATACACAAAATATAATTACATGTGAAATTGCATTATGCACGTGGCACGTGGTCCTGTGCACAGCGCACAGATCATAAATCAGGTGAAGTTAAGGAACGTCCTTGGATAGGTGACCACGTTCAGCAGCTTGACTCCCGAGAGTTTCTAGGGCTTCGGTCCTGTCCCACACTGAAGCACGTGTACCACATGTGGTGTCTCCTTGGGCAAGTGACTTTGGTCGAAATTTGCCTCTGTTCACCCAGCAGTGAGTGGGTACCCGATGGGATGAGATGGCATTGTGGATGTTAACCTTCTAGCGCCTCATAGACAGCATGGGTTGTATGATCCTCAGGGAGATGAGAATGAAAAGCGAATGCTCACTTGGTGAATGGAATCTGGCGCATTATAAATGCACTTATGATGATGATGATTATTATCATTATTATTATTATGATTATCAGCATCATCAGCATTATTATTATCAATAATAATAATCAAACATCACAAACGATACTGGAACCATTATCACTGAAACTACAATTTGTAAACACAGTTCATGTTTGTGAGATTAACCCAAGCAAAAATATTTCCATATTTACCTCAATTTCCAAGACTATAATCACCTCACCCACACAACCCACCCAGGCCCATTGTAGTTGGCTCCTTGAACGGTATATGACATTGACATGAACTCGGCTGGTGTACTCACGTGATATGTAGCACGTTTATCAGTGCCATATCAGCTCTGTGTATAGTATTCTGCAGGCTAACAGGCTCACTGGCCTTCACGTCACAGGTCAACAACGCGCTGACAACACTATGGCGGAAGGTACGTACTTGTTAAATTGGCTTCAAATCATTGTTCATGTTATAGCCATTTTAGACATATTAATTTCCGACAAGTGCATTTCTTATCAAATGCGACATTAAGATAAGTTAAGGGCTTTGCTAGAGAATGTTCATTCTATGACGATTGTAGAGAATAACTGACATCGAGTGGGTATCACGGCTGTTTATATGACAATGTTTTGTGAGGCGAAACTGGGTTCAAGGTTATTGCATTTGTACCATGTACTATGTCCGGTCTGCATGCATAGGGGTTGTATGGATCGGGGTAGTATGGATCGGGGTAGTATGGATAGGGATAGGGATAGGGGGTTGTGTGGATAGGGGTTGTATGGATAGGGATATGGATAGGGGGTTGTGTGGATAGGGGTTGTGTGGATCGGGGTAGTATGGATAGGGATATGGATAGGGGGTTGTGTGGATAGGGGTTGTATGGATCGGGGTAGTATGGATAGGGATATGCATAGGGGGTTGTCTGGATAGGGGTTGTATGGATCGGGGTAGTATGGATAGGGATATGGATAGGGGGTTGTGTGGATAGGGGTTGTGTGGATAGGGGTAGTATGGATAGGGATATGGATAGGGGGTTGTGTGGATAGGGGGTTGTGTGGATAGGGGTTGTATGGATCGGGGTAGTATGGATAGGGATATGGATAGGGGGTTGTGTGGATAGGGGTTGTATGGATCGGGGCAGTATGGATAGGGATATGGATAGGGGGTTGTGTGGATAGGGGTTGTGTGGATAGGGGTAGTATGGATAGGGATATGGATAGGGGGTTGTGTGGATAGGGGTTGTATGGATAGGGATATGGATAGGGGGTTGTGTGGATAGGGGTTGTATGGATAGGTATATGGATAGGGGATTGTGTGGATAGGGGTTGAGTGGATAGGGGTAGTATGGATAGGGATATGGATAGGGGTTGTGTGGATAGGGGTTGTATGGATAGGGATAGGTGGTTGTGTGGATAGGGGTTGTATGGATAGGGATATGGATAGGGGGTTGTGTGGATAGGGGTTGTGTTGATAGGAGTTGTGTGGATAGGGGGTTGTGTGGATAGGGGTTGTATGGATAGGAATAGGGGGTTGTGTGGATAGGGATATGGATAGGGGGTTGTGTGGATAGGGGTTGTGTTGATAGGAGTTGTGTGGATAGGGGGTTGTGTGGATAGGGGTTGTGTGGATAGGAGTTGTGTGGATAGGGGGTTGTGTGGATAGGGGTTGTGTGGATAGGGGTTGTGTGGATAGGGGGTTGTGTGGATAGGGGATTGTGTGGATAGGGGTTGTGTGGATAGGGGTTGTATGAATAGGGATAGGAGGTTGTGTAGATAGGGGTTGTATGGATAGGGATATGGATAGGGGGTTGTGTGGATAGGGGTTGTGTGGATAGGAGTTGTGTGGATAGGGGGTTGTGTGGATAGGGGTTGTATAGATCTTGGTTGTATTGATCAAAATGTATACTTGACATAAGTAAGTATAGGAGAACAGAAGAATGACAAATCATAAAGAAATATTGGAAGGAGGGAGGGTATCGCGAGACGTTTAAGATGTATGGATAGGGGTTGTGTGGATAGGGGATTGTGTAGATAGGGGTTGTGTGGATAGGGGTTGTATGGATAGGGGATTGTGTGGATAGGGGATTGTGTGGATAGGGGATTGTATGGATAGGGGTTTTTAGTGGATAGGGGGTTGTGTGGATAGGGGTTGTGTGGATAGGGGTTGTATGGATAGGGATAGGGATATGGATAGGGGATTGTGTGGATAGGGGGTTGTGTGGTTAGGGGATTGTGTGGATAGGGGTTGTGTGGATAGGGGTTGTATGGATAGGGGTTGTATAGATCTTGGTTGTATTGATCAAAATGTATACTTGACATAAGTAAGTATAGGAGAACAGAAGAATGACAAATCATAAAAAAAATATTGGAAGGAGGGAGGGTATCGCGAGACGTTTAAGATGTGTTCTTTTTGTAAAACTATTGTAGAAGATGAGATCAATTTTATGTTATCCTGCTCGGCTTATGATGTTTAAAGACGAACATATTTTTAAAATATTAATTTAAAAAATCCACTGGTATTTTACCCCAATCTTCCGATTATAAAACCTTGTCTTTATGTGTGAAATTTATCAAAGACGCTATGACCTTACGCTCTTTACTAGTGTAATTACGATTGTTTTTACTATTTACGTACTGTTTTCATACCACCATGCTCTACAACTTCCATGTATGTAGCTTTACTTAGACCTGTGCCCATTATACTGGTGACTGCTTGTCGTAACAGGCGACTAACCGGATCGGGTGGTCAGGCTCGCTGACTTGGTTGATGCATGTCATCGTATCCCAATTGCGTGGATCGATGCTCATGATGTCAATCACTGGATTGTCTGCTCCAGACTCGATTATTTACAGACCGCCTTCATATAGCTGGAATATTACTGAGTGCGGCGTTAAACAATAAATAAACAAACAAACAAACTAAATCTTGGGTGAACGGCACTACTGAAACTATCATTGCTGCCATGCAATTTTTTACTCGAATGCTGAGTGTGCTGAAATAAACCTAAAATTCAGAGTATGTAATTCTGGAAATAAAGTTCCATGCAATATACCATGATTATCAGGAATACCTAGCAGATACATGTTTAATACAACTACATATGAATATACTGTGATCATGCAATACTATGCCAGTTACATGGAATATAAAGTGATATGAATTATTCCATGATACATTGATATGAATTATTCCATATGATACATGCTTGAAAAATCTGATGCAATGGCGCAAGGGGCTGGGGATGAGGGTATTAAATATGAAAAACATCTCAGTCAAAAGAAATTATTAATATGTTATACACGTTGTGTCCCATACCAGGTCTATACCAGTCTCCGGCTGTGGCGTATCCGTCACTGGCCGAGTTGACCCGACTGTCAGAGGAGATGAGGCTGCAATGCACCGATGACGATCTTCAGGTTGTAGAAGGTAAGCGCATTCAAAGGCGGGATAAGGGGAAGAACGTTAAACCACTACTAATGTCTAGGGCTGCAACGATACAGGAAGGTCACGATACGATACGCATCTCGATATTCTGGTCACGATACAATAAGTATCTCGATACGCAATGATAAAAAAAAAGAGACTTAAAGCATGACTTGTCAAGATTAAACCTTTCATGATTTTGGAACAGTCAAAATTATTTTACAATAACAAGACTACTGAAGTTGTTCAGCTTCAAAGTGGAACTTTCTCTACAAAAAAACAGTCCGTTTGACTCCAAATGAGAACGATGAATTGCAAAATAACTCGAAATCCAGAAAAGTGTATAAAACATCAATACGGTACTTGACCATGAATACCCTGTACCCAACAAAATCTGAATTTTGTTTATTTTAAGACCCATGACGGATGAAGTTCTTTAAGAAACTATCATGTAATTTTGTATAGAAATGTGTACATGACACGTAGGGGGGACAAACCGTGGAAGGCACAGCGCAAGCACGCATGCACTGCACGTTCTGTGGTAGGGGAAGTGACAGAGCGTTAGAGGGTCCGTCTCAGGATAATTTCAGTCGCAATCTGACTCGCTCATGCCATAGATCTCGTCGTCGGAACTGCTGGTGCCTGAACTGACTGCCACTATTATAGGTTGGATTGTTGCTGGCCGTAGTCCATCTCGTGACCAATAACGTGGCTCTATCTCGTCAACGACTGTGGCCACACAACACCTCCATGTTTCTACTGTAACCCGACCAAGGGATTCCTTTACGAGTTGTTCAACGTCTCGTAATTTGAACGTTGTGTTCGATCGTCCAACGTCACCCTTGACGATGCCCCATACCAACTAGATTGGATTCAGGTCGTAGTGATATGGTGGCAGTCGTAAGACAGCGTGACCCTGACCCTTGATGTAACTGTCAACTTTATACACGGGGTCAGGTTTCATAGTTTTGATGATTTCCTAGAGCTGTGGTTTCGTCGCTCGAGAAAGAAAGGTAATGTTCCTCCGTTGCAGCCAAGTAACCATGTCTCCTTTACGGTTTTTAGAGGTTGGAGTCTTGCTTTCTGGATCCTGCACACTATGATACTGTGCATTGTCCATGACAATGAGAGACTTGGTAGGTAAAGCAGGGACTAATTTATCTTTCACCCACTCCAGAAATACATTGCCTTTCATTTCTGTGTGGTAGTCCCTGTTGTCTTTGGCCTTGGCTCTAAAGACGAGGTCACAGTCTAGGAGAAAACCCTGACTAGTAGAACCAGCATGGAGAACTATGAGTCTTTCACCCTTTCCCATTGGTAACTTTCTACCAGACTCCTTAGAGTCACCACTGGGTACCCACTGACTGCTGGCTGTGTGTGACGCATTTACCCATGTCTCATCTAAGAAGACGGGCTCATATCCTTCTTCACGTTTCTGCTTGATGGTACGAAGGTAATGATTTCGGAGACGAACAATGTCAGACCGTTCACACAACACAACCCTATTTTCTCCAGTTATCTTTTTGTATTTGTAACCAAATGTATGCAACAGCTGCCATAGTTTGTACTTTGTAACACGTAAATCATGGTCAGTTTCAAGGTGTTTCTTCAAAATTCTTAGGGACAGGTACTTATTTTCTGAGTGCAGTGTAACAATTGCACGTCTGACTTGATCCCTCTGAAAACTGTCTAATTTATCAACCTTGCGTGGTTTTGACATGTTCCCTACCTCCTTGGCCTGACTATTTGTATCTCGTCGACTAACAACATTTTTCAGTTTCTGAGGGGACATACCACGAGCTTTTGAAGCTCGTTTCAAGAAAATTATTTATTAATTGCGTAAAAAGGCTTTGCTCTATCTGCTTCACTTCTTAAGAAATCATACACATTCAACATCAACTGTTTAACATATGCTGAGTAGCGCATCTTGTCATTGAATGAACACGGTCACTGTGTAGCACGTGCAGACCGTGCTTGCGCTGTTCCTTCCACGGTTTGTCCCCCTAGGCCTACGTGTCATGTACACATTTCTATACAAAATTACATGATAGTTTCAGTCATTGGTCTTAAATTAAACAAAATTCAGATTTTGTTGGGTACAGGGTATTCATGGTCAAGTACCGTATTGATGTTTCATACACTTTTCTGGATTTCGAGTTATTTTGCAATTCATCGTTCTCATTTGGAGTCAAACGAACTGTAACTTTCCTTAAAAACAATTCAAAGTTCAAACACCAGAAAATAATTAATGTGCTCCACCAGTGATACAACGTCAAAGAATTTTGATGCAATGGTCGAAGAAATTGTATCTGAAATTATTGTTTTATCAGGAATAATATATTCCAATATCGTGTTACCTTAGTTGCAGCTTTTACTATATATATATTTAAAATTATAAGAACCACAAGTGTAGCATTTTGGTACTGGTGATTGCTGTTGCAGGATATTTATACGTATGGAACAATTTGACCAGTTACCCTAGGGACTTCCCGTGCTACATGTGTTTCGATTGCGAAAACGTTATGTTGACATATATTAGCCAAATTGCCACAAATATGACTTTTAACGAGTCAAAGTATGGCATTTTTAATATATGTATCCATTCTCTAGCAACTAAAGTTCGTTTCAATGTGTTAAAAGCGGTAATCTGGCCGTGGTTGCTGTATCTCTTCACACACGATTTCACATAACTTAATGACAACAATATTAGATGAAATTTTGAAAAAAACTTTTAAAATATATTACAAACACAAGTCCAGATATACAATGAACACGTTTTAATAACAAGATAGTATGATAATGGTATTGAATTGCGTACTTCAGTTCGGATTTGCTGACAGGTATTTCCATTGTTATGTGCTTGCGGGGATCAGCTGATAATGTTTTTTGAGATGGGGAAAAACATCTGTCGGTGTAAAACCTGAGCTTATTAAAAATGTAAGTACGTTTTGGGGAGCCATGCGTTACCGCGCGCTATAACCAAGTGAGCGGTTTATTGAAAGGCACAATAGCGAGGAAACGCTGTACTTGAGATTTGCGTTCCGTGTCGTGGCGTATCGATAAATGGGCCTACGTTTATCGTATATCGTATCGTGGGTCAAGTATCGCGATGCATCGGAATATCGGTGTATCGTTTCACCCTTACAATGTCATTATCATGATAAATTTCTGGTAAACACAGGATGTATGTAGGGCAAGTGCTTTCTCTCTTGTGTAGAAAGACGACCTCAATAGGACACTAGGGAAGATGTCATCCGTATCATGATAACACTGTAGTCAGCATGGGATTGGTACAGTGGGGTGTTATCTGCACCAATACCAGTACCATTAACACGAGAAAGGTATAGAGCGGTATTATCAGTATCACAATATAGTTTTGTGTTATCAGTATCGTAATATAGTTATAGCAATCATAGGATTGGTACAGTGGAGTGATTTCAGTATCGTAATAACGGTATAGTCATTGGTACAGTGAGATGTTATCAGTATCGTAATATAGTTATAGCCATCACTGTCATCATAACGGTATGGTAATTGGTACAGTGAGATGTTATCAGTATCGTAATAACGGTAGGTCATTGGTACAGTGAGATGTTATCAGTATCGTAATAACGGTAAAGTCACTGGTACAGTCAGATGTTATCACTGTCATCATAACGGTACGGTAACTGGTACAGTGAGATGTTATCAGTATCGTAATAACATTATAGTCACTGGTACAGTGAGATGTTATCACTGTCATCATAACGGTATGGTAATTGGTACAGTGAGATGTTATCAGTATCGTAATAACATTATAGTCACTGGTACAGTGAGATGTTATCACTGTCATCATAACGGTATGGTAATTGGTACAGTGAGATGTTATCAGTATCGTAATAACATTATAGTCACTGGTACAGTGAGATGTTATCACTGTCATCATAACGGTATGGTAATTGGTACAGTGAGATATTATCAGTATCGTAATAACGGTAGGTCATTGGTACAGTGAGGTGGTATCACTGTCATCATAACGGTATGGTTATTGGTACAGTGAGATGTTATCAGTATCGTAATAACGGTAGGTCATTGGTACAGTGAGATGTTATCATTGCCATCATAACGGTATGGTAATTGGTACAGTGAGATGTTATCAGTATCGTTATAACATTATAGTCACTGGAACAGTGAGATTTTATCAGTATCGTAATAACGGTAGGTCATTGGTACAGTAAGATGTTTCACTGTCATCATAACGGTATGGTAATTGGTACAGTGAGATGTTATCAGTATCGTAATAACGGTAGGTCATTGGTACAGTGAGATGTTTCACTGTCATCATAACGGTATGGTAATTGGTACAGTGAGATGTTATCAGTATCGTAATAACGGTAGGTCACTGGTACAGTGAGATGTTATCAGTATCGTAATAACGGTAGGTCATTGGTACAGTGAGATGTTATCAGTATCGTAATAACGGTAGGTCACTGGTACAGTGAGATGTTATCAGTATCGTAATAACGGCACGGTAATTGGTACAGTGAGATGTTATCAGTATCGTAATAACGGTAGGTCACTGGTACAGTGAGATGTTATCAGTATCGTAATAACGGTACGGTAATTGGTACAGTGAGATGTTATCAGTATCGTAATCGTGGTAATGTGAGCAATGAATGATACAACATGTTCTTTCTTTTTGACTCGGATATATTTCAATTTTCAGCAGTTTTCATTGACACGAAATGTCAATCAAAACCTGTGACACGGTAAATATACCACCTACACCACCTCTAATCTAACTATATATACAACGTACCTTCCACTCTACAGTCACAGTCACGAACTGCTGACCCTGTGCGTGTGTTCGTGTGGTTGCTTGTACTAGCCCTGACACTGAGAAGCCATGCCACAATACACCATGGATACCCCACATTATGCTGACTCAGAGCCGATCAGTCCTCGTTTTAACCCCTCAATGCTGAGGGCCAGGTCGGGTAACAACAACTCATCTTTGAACGTCATTTGGTAGGACGTGGCCATGGGGTCGAACGGCCGTCACATCCAGTCACTCCATGTATTGTTCACATTAATTTCCTGAGTCTGTAGAACTGACAGCAATTTTATACAGCAGCTCCAGCATTTAGTGTTTACAGTGGAGCAAGCCCATTCTCCGAAGATTCGAAGAGCGTCATACGACTCTTGCTCAAACGTCGTCTTAATCTGTTGAGACCGATGGCAGTCTTGACAATTCTTTTTATTTCAATAAATAAAAGCGATAAAACCCTTCCGATTTTCATAAGAAATCTCTGCTAAAAGCAGAGCCATTGTTAGATTCTGACTATATCAAGAGCATGTGTTTGTGAATCACTATCTAATAGTAATTAATGACACGATATGTTCGCTAAAAGGTGAGCGTATCCTGCCCCACCGGTGGCACACGTCACAAACACATGCAACGGCAAGTCATTTGTTCAGCTGCAAAACTCGGGAACAGATGGTAGAAGACAAAACAAGGAATTGCATCGGACATCATTCTTGTCACTGATCCGTCAAATTTGGAAATGTCATCCACGTGTTGTTAAAGCGTTCGCTCGTCACGCCGAAGACCCGGGTTCGATTCCCGACATGGGTACAATGTGTGAAGCCCATTTCTGGTGTCTCCCGCCGTGATGTTGCTGGAATATTGCTAAAAGCGGCGTAAAACCAAACTCACTCACTCACTCACTCATCCACGTGTCTTCCATGAAACTTTTTGAAAGCTTTGAATGAGTCCTTGAATGTAATCTTGATCAAACAACTTCTGTGCATGGGTGGTGTGACGCTCCCATACGCGTGTAGACACCAATGTAGGTTGGAGCTACAGGAATATTGCTCGACATAAAGGGAAAGCTGACTATCAGAAAGTTGAAGTCACCCCTCTTGTCATACAGGCTTGCGGAAAGTGTTTTGTAGAGCTATAGGAATATTGCTCGACATAAAGGGAAAGCTGACTATCAGAAAGTTGAAGTCACCCCTCTTGTCATACAGGCTTGTGGAAAGTGTTTTGTAGAGCTATAGGAATATTGCTCGACATAAAGGGAAAGCTGACTATCAGAAAGTTGAAGTCACCCCTCTTGTCATACAGGCTTGTGGAAAGTGTTTTGTAGAGCTATAGGAATATTGCTCGACATAAAGGGAAAGCTGACTATCAGAAAGTTGAAGTCACCCCTCTTGTCATACAGGCTTGTGGAAAGTGTTTTGTAGAGCTACAGGAATATTGCTCGACATAAAGGGAAAGCTGACTATCAGAAAGTTGAAGTCACCCCTCTTGTCATACAGGCTTGTGGAAAGTGTTTTGTAGAGCTACAGGAATATTGCTCGACATAAAGGGAAAGCTGACAATCAGAAAGTTGAAGTCACCCCTCTTGTCATACAGGCTTGCGGAAAGTGTTTTGTAGAGCTATAGGAATTAATATTGCTCGACATAAAGGGAAAGTTGACTATCAGAAAGTTGAAGTCACCCCTCTTGTCATACAGGCCTGCGGAAAGTGTTTTGTAGAGCTATAGGAATTAATATTGCTCGACATAAAGGGAAAGTTGACTATCAGAAAGTTGAAGTCACCCCTCTTGTCATACAGGCTTGTGGAAAGTGTTTTGTAGAGCTATAGGAATTAATATTGCTCGACATAAAGGGAAAGTTGACTATCAGAAAGTTGAAGTCACCCCTCTTGTCATACAGGCTTGCGGAAAGTGTTTTGTAGAGCTATAGGAATTAATATTGCTCGACATAAAGGGAAAGCTGACTATCAGAAAGTTGAAGTCACCCCTCTTGTCATACAGGCTTGCGGAAAGTGTTTTGTCACTCTGAATGTTTATGCATAGATCTAAATATGAAACAGATCTCACTGGTCTCCTTTATTTCTAGTTCAGGTATGTTAATCGGTGGAAGGGAATTGGCTATCAGATGGTTATTGACCGATATCAGATCATCGTTATACTTTATCCTTATTTTCCAAAACACTGCGTTTACATTAGATTCCACGGACTTCAACAAGTAATGGAACACTTCGATTGATTGACATGGATGTTGATTTGACGAAATGACAATATTTCCATAACAACGCATTACTGTAAATTTGTTTCACTGAAAAGCATTATATGTTCACCTTCCCGTATTTCATAGAAAAACGTTGATAGATTAGTGAGTGTATGAGTGAGTATGGTTTTACGCCGCTTTTAGCAATATTATATCATGGCATTGTACCCATGTAATGGTTAGACACTACAGTAATGAAATTGTCTTCATGAAGTTAACATTCTCAAATTGCATTTACAGCGGAGTTTAAAAACACCGCACGTCCACTCCTGCGAGTCTCACAGCTTCCGCAACCATCACTTCCGGTCAATTATCCTCGAACCCCGGGATACAGACCTGTACAGGAGAAAAATCCACACAATGCCTGGTAATAAACATTTTTATGTTGGGAGTACATTGTTTTGTCATGAGTGTCATTGTTTGTCATGCATGACGCACATGTACGTACCAATGTAGGAACTGTACCCATGAACACTGATACCTGTCTCAAATAGACCATGTGATCACAACAGAGGGTATTTCTGAATTCTCACAGGTACTGGCGTTGTAACATCAAAGGCGCCGACACGGGGAAACTGGCAGGTAAAACATTCGCCATCAAGGACAACATAGCCGTGGCCGGGGTTCCGATGATGAACGGAAGTAAAATCTTGGAGGGATACACTCCCGAGTTCGACGCTACTGTAGTCACGAGAATCCTGGATGCCGGTAATTAAGAGCGTTTCCATTCCGAACTTAAGGTATCACAGATATTTTGATTCCAATTCCATGATGATTATTTATCCACAAGCCTCTCAGCCATGCTCTCGATGTTTTTAGGATCTGCATGCATGGGACATCGAGACAGTCGAAACTTTATGTTTGTTTGTTTGTTTGTTGTTTAACGCCGCACTCAGCAATATTCCTGCTATATGACGGCGGTCTGTAAATAATCGAGTCTGGGCCAGACAGTCCAGTGATTGACACCATGAGCATCGATCCACGCAATTGGGATACGATGACATGCATCAACCAAGTCATCAAGCCTGACCACCCGATCCAGTTAGTCGCCTCTTACAACAAGCATAGTCGCCTTTTACGGCAAGCATGGGTTGCTGAAGAGCTATTCTATCCCGGATCTTCACGGGTTCGAAACTTTATGTATTGTTTCCACTCAGATGTATTGTCTTAAAGAAGCGGTTCAATCACATCCGTTCTGTGTCATCGGATTCTATTTCCATCAGGTGGCAGAATCGTGGGCAAATCCAACTGTGAACACCTCTGTATGAGTGGGTTAAGTTTCACCTGTGACGCCGGGCCTGTGAGGAACCCACATGACGAGACGAGAAACACAGGGGGATCCAGCTCTGGCAGCGGGGCTCTGGTATGTTTGTTGGTTGTTGGTTGGTTTGTTGTTTAACGCCGCACTCAGCAATATTCCAGCTTTATGACGGCGGTCTGTAAATAATCGAGTCTGGACCAGACAATCCAGTGATTAATATCATGAGCATCAACCAACGCAATTGGGAATGATGACCTTGCATCAACCAAGTCAGCGAGTCTGACCACCCGATCCTGTTAGTCGCCTTTTACGACAAGCATAGTAGCCTTTTACGGCAAGCATGGGTTGCTGAAGGCCTATTCTACACCGGAATCTTCACGGGTGTCGAATGAGTGAATGATTGGGCCAGCTTTCTGCCTTGACAGTTCTAATACTGTTTCAAAATGTTTAATGATAGACATGTGGAGGACATTACCAAATTTAACGCACCAGGGACAAAAATGAAGTCCGATGTAATTCCCTTTTCGATCATAGGATTCATGGTTTGATTTAATTGATTTGCCTTTGCATGGGTTTCTGATGGGTGACTCCAATGGGGCAGGATACGCGAACACCTGGTATCATTAGTATTTAAGAGTAACTCATAGACACATGCTCGTACAATCGATATTTTGTTGAAAAAAGAAAGGAGCTTGTCGCTTTTATGTCCTTCATGTAAGAAGTGACAGGGACGGGTGTGTGTGTGTGTTACGGGGGGGGGGGGGGGGGGGGGGGTTGGCGCACAGGGGGCCCAGTCGTCGAAGGCGCCGCGATTCGCTGTGCAGAGTTGCGTCCCTTGGGCACGCCAGAAACTTATGATTGTGGGTTCGACCATACCCGTGTTCGTGGGTTTCACCGAAGTGGTAAACTGAGACCTACATCACTTCGGGCTTACCTCGCACATTAAGCTGACACGCCGTGATATAACTGGAATAATGTTAAAAGCGGCGTTAAACTCAACTCACTCACTAGTAGTGACAGGGAATGCTCAAAATACTATCAGCCATCATATCCCTCACGAAAGACTCGTATATGTTGCAGGTTGCATCAGGTGAGGTCGACATGGCGCTTGGGGGAGACCAGGGAGGGTCTATCCGAATCCCAGCCAGCTGGTGTGGCATTGTGGGACTGAAGCCGACATTTGGTTTGGTCCCCTATACCGGAGCTATGTCTTTGGAGACAACCCTGGATCACCTTGGACCCATGACGAAAACAGTCGCGGACTGCGCTGTGCTGCTGGAGGTAGGTAAAGAATCAGTAACTGTGAAGGGGGTAGAAACAAGGCGTCATTCCAAATATATGTATATCTACTAATAAATTGATATATCTTCATATTTAGTGTGGGGCGGTCGGGTAGCCTAGTGGTTAAAGCGAGGACCCGGGTTCGATTCCCGACATGGGTACAATGTGTGAAGCCCATTTCTGGTGTCCCCCTCCGTGATATTGCTAAAAGCGGCGTAAAACCAAACTCACTCACTCGTATTTAATATAAATGTAATATTGTGAATGTTATTGAAATGCTGTAAGTGTTCAACCTTAACTATTTACCTTCCAATGTTCGCAATGTATTGATCCAGCATTTTGTTTGATATTGATCCAGCATTTTGACTTATATTGATCCAATATTTTGACTGATATTGATCCAACATTTTGACTTATATTGATCCAACATTTTGACTATGGTTTATTTTCTTTGATGAAGCTCCACCAATGTCACCATGAATACGAAGTCACGCCACCTTGGCCTTCGGGCATTTCTGGATCAGGCAAACTGGACAAGTGTTCAAATAGATGGCAATGACTGATCTGTATCTTATTAAAGGACTAATTTTCGTATCATTAGTCAAATCGCTTCTGCCCTTTTTACAACAAACACCATCAAACGAGGGGATGAACACTATTTGGAATGTAATTACAAAACTACACAGTATACAATCGAAATATACATCCTGCGTTGATACGAATACCGGACAACTCTGGAGACACTGAGATTGTCCAACAACCATTGCATCGATAAACACTAGCAGCACCAGCAACACTTTGCGGAGTAGGGCTCACGCCTTCAAAACTAAAAACTATCAAGAATTGTACTTTCCAGGTACTCGCAGGTTATGACGAAGGCAGAGATCCCAGACAGTATGCAAAAACTGTGGTGCCTGAGTACTCCAAACTGGTGAGTGGGCATGAGGCGTTACTAAATTAACCGAACCTTTTGAGTGAGTGACTCAATATTGTAAGGCCAGCAGTGCATCAGCTATATCACAGCAGCCTCTAAGTACGTGTGGGGGCACGGATGGCCCAGTCGTCTTAGGCGCTGCGGTTCGATATAACTGGAATAGTGTTAAAAGCGGCGTTAAACCAAACTCACTCACTCACTCTTAGTACGTGTAATTGAGTCTGGACCAGCCATACCAAAGAATGGAAGCAAATATGTCATAGGGCATGGTGACAAGCAATGAGACAAGTCGCAGAGCCTGACAACCCTATGCAGAACATGTTTATGGTCATTATGTTCCACGGATGATGGGGGGGGGGGGGGGGGGGGGGGGCACGGGTGGCCAAGTCGTCTAAGGCGCCGCAATTCGCTGTGCAGAATTTGCGTCCCTTGGGCACGCCAGAAACTTATGATTATGGTTTCGAATCCTGGTTCATCCCGACTATGTTTCTATGTTTGTCAGCAGCATACCCGTGCTCGTGGGTTTCACCGAAGTGGTAAACGTCTGAGACCTGCATCACTTCGGGCCTTCCTCCCACATTAAGCTGACACGCCGCGATATAACTGGAATAGTGTTAAAAGCGGCGTTAAACCCAACTCACTCACTCACTCACTCACTCACTCACTCACTCACTCACTCACTCCACGGATGATGTATAATACCAGATCCATAATCACTAGCAACAAAAAAAATGTTTCTCGGACACATTTCTTTAAATTTCAAAAGTGATTAGGGGAGGATCACTTTTTACTTTGAGTATTGAACTCGGCTGTATAATAAAATATCAGTTGTCAAGCATGGAGAGGCAGAATCTGCTTCATATGACGCTGGAAACTGTTTTGAAACTAAAAGTGGCAACATATATAACTGGTGAGGTGAGGTGAGGTGAAATGGGGTTTAACGTCGCGTCAAAGATTATTGCACTTATATAGCGACGTGCATGCACGTGTGTGTGTGGCTGCTTGTACTAGTCCGAACTGATGCCGATTTATAGTGCGAGCACACCGAGATACCATGCCGCAGTTTAACATGAATACCCCACTCAGACACAGTATACTGACTCCGAGCCGACCAGTCCTTGTTTAAGCCCCTTAATGCCGAGCGCCAGACAGGGTAACAACAAGTACCATCTTTTAACATCTTTTGGTATGACGCGGCCGGGCATCGAACTCCGGACCTTCCGCTCTCGGGGCGGACGCTCTACCACAAGACCACGGAGGCGGTCGCCAACATTTAACTGACCCGCAGGACTTGAACTTAAGCGACAAAGCAATTTCCATAACCATAAGAAACCTTTGCTAAAGGCCGAGACATTTGTACGTATGACATAAGCATGTGTTTATAAATCACAATCAACTAGCGATGATACCAGGTGTTCGCGACAGGGGTATCCTGCTCTACCAGTAGCCTCACAAACACTTGCGAAGGCAAGTCAAATGTTCACCTGAAAAAACACGCGAATAAATAGTATATGTGAAAATGGGAATCGCATTGGACATCACGCGCTGATACCCGAGAAATATTACCATTTTTTAGCAATTCATACCTTGATATTATTAAATAACGAGTCTTATGAACTTGCCATATTCAGATTGATGCTGGCATCTCCGGCAAGAAGATCGGCGTGTTGAAGGAAGGGTTTGACGTGTGTACGGAGCCTGACGTGGTGGAGATAGTGAGGAGAGAAGTGGATAGACTGAAGGAAGCAGGGGCGGAGGTGGAGGAAGTATCACTGCCCATACATCTGGATGGTACAGTAACCATTTCAGTGACCGAGATACATTTATAACCTTTTAATGACAAAGGTCGTAATGAAGCCGATATCACTGAAACACTTTTGTATGTCTGTTTTAAGCTATATAACGGCCAGTAATGTATTTGAGTCTGGACCCAACAAACCAGTGGTTGATAGTATGAACAATGTTCCATGCCGTCAGGGTACGATGACACGTTGGCAAATTATTGGCTTCCTATCACAAAGAAGGACAAGAGTGTTGGATGCGTGTTCTAAGCCGATCCCCACGGCCAGCTGATGCACGCTACATGCTCATGAATATCTACATATCATGAAATGGCGTATCTCATCATGGTGACGATTTGACTTGATAAATGGTGACTACAATAACGTGGTGTGATCAACACGATATTTCACACGTTTGTTTCACGCTTAACGCCGCACTCAACAATGTTCCAGCTATATGACGGCGGTCTGTAAATAATCGAGTCTGGACTAGACAATCCAGTGATTGACACCTTGAGCATCGATATACGCAATTGGGATACGATGATATTAATCAACCAAGTCAGCGAGTCTGACCACCCGAACACATTTGTCGCCTCTCACGACAAGCATAGTCGCCTTTTACGACAAGCATGGGTTGGTGAAGACCTATTCTCTACCCGGATCTTCACGGATCTATTTCACTCGAGTTCTGTTACGATCGCACATGGACAGTAAATGCAAAAGGATCAATAATGAAGAAATCAACAATTGCTTCGAGTACACTTCAGTTCATTGCCCCTGTTTTGCAACTTCAACATCAGAACTGCTACAAGATAATGTTAAAAATTAATACTAGTGAGTGACTATGTTTTTACGCCGCTTTTAGCAATATTCCAGCAATATCACGGTGGGGGACACCGGAAAATGGGCTTCAAACATTGTACCCATGTCAGGTATCGAACCCGGGTCTTCGACGTTACGAGCCAACGCTTTCACCACTAGGCTACCCCCACCGCCCTTAAATTAACATTAATATACAGGTTAACATTAATATACAGATTATAACATACAGGTTATAATGTCGCTTTTTCGTATTATCAACCCGTGGGTATTCAGGCTAAGAATATAGGTCCCTAGCAACCCATATCTGTCGTCAGAGGCGACTAAAAGATCGGGTGGAGAAGGTCGGTGACTTGGTAGATAGCATATCGTCGTATTCTAATTGCATGGTTCAATCTCGCGACGTCAAACAAAAGACTAAAAAGCAATGCTTATTGGTTTTATTAAGGGCCAGTTTAGAAAACAAAATCTGTCACATGCAAGCCTGCTGAATTGTCACCTCGTGGTCAATGCGTGGACTCATTGCGGCGAACACCTGGTTCAAATTTCTCCAATTGGTACAACAGGTTAAGACCATTCTTGGTGCCGTTTTTGGGGGGTCTGTTCTGACCATATTCGTCAAGCAATACATACAGTCATCATAACTCCTCCTTATTGCATACGCGCACACTTACTTGTTAGAGTTAATTTCTTATTGCAGGCCCAGCAATCTGGACTCCAGTATGTATGCAGGGAACTTACAAGTGTTTAATCCAGGGGAATGGTAAGAAAGTGCCTACGACTCTTTTCATTCTTGAACTACGTGTACATGTTCATTCACAAACACACACACACACACACACACACACACACACACACACACACACACACACACACACACACACACACACACACACACATGCACTTCGCCATACACATGTAAGTGCAGTAATTTTTTATGCGACCGATATTTTCGCAAGATCTCATACGCAACGGCCATTCCTAAGTTATTCTGCTGAGATAAAACGCAAATATTACTCCATACGTAATTACATGATATTATACACATACCGTACATTATCAGTATCAGTATCACTTACCAGTAATCAATATTAATCTACATGCACTTTCCAAAAAGGTATTTCATATGGTAAATGAAATATGGTATGTGAAACTTCCTGCGTCTATTTACTCTTCAGGCAGTGGGCAGTTCTGGAAGGGTTACTATCCCGTGTCAATGCAAGAAGCGACCAGTCGGGGCCTCTATACCCGCCCGCAGGACCTGTCCAAGGAGCTGAAGAAGTTCTGTCTGAAGGCCGAGTACCTGGATAGACACTACCAGAACAAGTTCTATGCCATGGGACAAAACATGACCATGGTCCTCGCCAAAGCATATGACGATGTTCTGGCAGAATACGATGTTCTTGTCATGCCGACCTTGCCTCACAAGGCGCCCAAGTTACCCCAAACGGACGACGGTAAGATCCTGACAAATATATTTTCATAGCAAACGAATACAATGCTCAATAAAAAATAGCACGAGTCTCTTAGCACGTTGATGTTTCTATTCCATAGGAGGTGAATTTTCAGGTTTAAAGAGTAGAATGTTGAATAACACTGGTACAGCAAGAACATTACAGGATAACAATTTCTATAATGTTTATAACCTCGTTTCAGATTCTTCCAACTTCTAAATGCTTATCAAAGACTTGTGCAAGAACATTGGTCCTTTGGCGCTTCCGTTTCTCCTTTGATCCGACTTCCATCGTGTTTAATAAGCCCCTATTATAGGCTTTATTTAAGGCTTCTGACAGCTACAATTGTGGTGGGTTATATTATGGTTAATAATACACTCCCTTGTCTGTCCTGATAAGAGGTTGTCTTTTCATACTGGTGTCTACATATCCAGACGAGCTACAGCGCCGTGGCATTTTTTTTCTTTTTCATGCTAGAACCTCAAAAGTTCATGCTCCCCAACACAGCCTCCTTCAACAGCACCGGGCATCCAGCTCTCTCCATCAACGCCGGATCCAGTGAAGGACTCCCAGTCGGGATGCAGATAGTTGGACGCCATTTTGACGAGACAACAATCCTACAAGTGGCGAGATCATACGAGAAAATAAGGGATGTGAATAAATAAAAAACACATTCACGGTATTTGATGACATGAGGGAACTAGTGGTATACTAGTATCATCGAACTCTTTTCATCAATAGAAAATTATGAAGTTACATGTACCGCTTTCTGGTCTCTATTGGTAGTTCTTTCCACAGCAACTGTCTTCAATTGAGACACTTAGGCGGACATTATTTGATAGCGTTTTGTTTCTGAATTGCACTGGGGTCTTTGTTCTATGTGCGCTAAACATTAATACACCACACAACAAACGTTCCTCGTTTAGGTGTAATGCAATTGTATATTGTGCCGTTGATTTTACACAATGACATTTGCAAATGTGGTTGTTTAACGACATTAAAATTCTCACTGCTCTAGTTGACAAAGTTGAACAGTCCCTCCATGTTGAACATTCCCTCTGTGTTGAACAGTCCCTCTGTGTAGAACAGTCCCTCTGGGTTGAACAGTCCCCTCTGTGTTGAACAGTCCCTCTGGGTTGAACAGTCCCTCTGGGTTGAACAGTCCCCTCTTTGTTGAACAGTCCCTCCATGTTGAACAGTCCCTCTCTGTTGAACATTCCCTCTGTGTTGAACAGTCCCTCCATGTTGAACAGTCCCCTCTGTGTTGAACAGTCCCTCTGTGTTGAACAGTCCCTCTGTGTAGAACATTCCCTCTGTGTAGAACATTCCCTCTGTGTTGAACAGTCCCTCTGTGTAGAACAGTCCCTCTGTGTTGAACAGTCCCTCTGTGTTGAACAGTCCCTCTGTGTTGAACATTCCCTTTGTGTTGAACAGTCCCTCCATGTTGAACAGTCCCCTCTGTGTTGAACAGTCCCTCTGTGTTGAACAGTCCCTCTGTGTAGAACATTCCCTCTGTGTAGAACATTCCCTCTGTGTTGAACAGTCCCTCTGTGTAGAACAGTCCCTCTGTGTTGAACAGTCCCTCCATGTTGAACAGTCCCCTCTGTGTTGAACAGTCCCTCTGTGTTGAACAGTCCCTCTGAGTTGAACAGTCCCGTTCGTGTTGAACAGTCCCCTCCCCCATATTGAACAGTCCCCTCTGAGTTGAACAGTACCGTTCGTGTTGAACATTCCCTCTGTGTAGAACATTCCCTCTGTGTAGAACAGTCCCTCTGTGTTGAGAACAGTCCCCTCTGTGTAGAACATTCCCTCTGTGTAGAACATTCCCTCTGTGTAGAACATTCCCTCTGTGTAGAACAGTCCCTCTGTGTTGAACAGTCCCTCCATGTTGAACAGTCCCCTCTGTGTTGAACAGTCCCTCTGTGTTGAACATTCCCTCTGTGTTGAACAGTCCCTCTGTGTAGAACAGTCCCTCTGTGTTGAACAGTCCCTCCATGTTGAACAGTCCCCTCTGTGTTGAACAGTCCCTCTGTGTTGAACAGTCACGTCCGTGTTGAACAGTCCCCTCCCCCATATTGAACAGTCCCCTCTGAGTTGAACAGTCCCGTTCGTGTTGAACAGTCCCCTCCCCCATATTGAACAGTCCCCTCTGAGTTGAACAGTCCCGTTCGTGTTGAACATTCCCTCTGTGTAGAACATTCCCTCTGTGTAGAACAGTCCCTCTGTGTTGAGAACAGTCCCCTCTGTGTAGAACATTCCCTCTGTGTAGAACATTCCCTCTGTGTAGAACATTCCCTCTGTGTAGAACAGTCCCTCTGTGTTGAGAACAGTCCCCTCTGTGTAGAACATTCCCTCTGTGTAGAACAGTCCCTCTGTGTTGAACAGTCCCTCTGTGTTGAACAGTCCCTCTGTGTTGAACAGTCCCTCTGTGTTGAACAGTCCCGTCCGTGTTGAGAAGTCCCTTTGTGTTGAACAGTCCCTCTGTGTTGAACAGTCCCCTCTGTGTTGAACAGTCCCTCTGTGTTGAACAGTCCCGTCCGTGTTGAGAACAGTCCCTCTGTGTTGAACATTCTCTCTGTGTTGAACAGTCCCATCTGTGTTGAACAGTCCCTCTGTGTTGAACAGTCCCCTCCACCATGTTGAACATCCCCTCTGTGTTGAACAGTCCCTCTGTGTTGAACAGTCCCTCTGTGTTGAACAGTTCCCTCTGTGTTGAACAGTCCCTCTGTGTTGAACATTCCCTCTGTGTTGAACAGTCCCTCTGTGTTGAACAGTTCCCTCTGTGTTAAACAGTCCCTCTGTGTTGAACAGTCCCGTCCGTGTTGAACAGTCCCTCTGTGTAGAACATTCCCTCTGTGTAGAACAGTCTCTCTGTGTTGAACAGTCCCCTCTGTGTTGAACATTCTCCCTGTGTTGAACAGTCCCCTCTGTGTTGAACATTCCCTCTGTGTTGAACATTCTCTCTGTGTTGAACAGTCCCTCTGTGTTGAACAGTCCCGTCCGTGTTGAACAGTCCCTCTGTGTAGAACATTCCCTCTGTGTAGAACAGTCCCTCTGTGTTGAAAAGTCCCCTCTGTGTTGAACAGTCCCTCTGTGTTGAACATTCTCTCTGTGTTGAACAGTCCCCTGTGTGTTGAACAGTGCCTCTGTGTTGAACACTCTCTCTGTGTTGAACAGCCCCTCTGTGTTGAACAGTCCCCTCCACCATGTTGAACAGCCCCCTCTGAGTTGAACAGTCCCGTTCGTGTTGAACATTCCCTCTGTGTAGAACATTCCCTCTGTGTAGAACAGTCCCTCTGGGTTGAACAGTCCCATCTGTGTTGAACAGTCCCGTCCGTGTTGAACAGTCCCTCTGTGTTGAACAGTCCCTCTGTGTTGAGAACAGTCCCTTCCTTGTTGAACAGTCCCCTCCACCATGTTGAACAGCCCCCTCTGAGTTGAACAGTCCCGTCCGTGTTCAACAGTCCCCTCCCCCATGTTGAAGAGTCCTCTCTGAGTTGAACAGTCCCGTTCGTGTTAAACATTCCCTCTGTGTAGAACATTCCCTCTGTGTAGAACATTCCCTCTGTGTTGAACAGTCCCCTCTGTGTTGAACAATCCCTCTGTGTTGAACATTCTCTCTGTGTTGAACAGTCCCTCTGTGTTGAGAACAGTCCCCTCTGTGTTGAACAGTCCCTCTGTGTTGAACAGTCCCCTCCACCATGTTGAACAGTCCCTCTGTGTAGAACATTCTCTCTGTGTTGAACAGTCCCTCTGTGTTGAGAACAGTCCCTCTGTGTTGAACAGTCCCGTCCGTGTTGAACAGTCCCCTCCACCATGTTGAACAGTCCCTCTGTGTTGAGAACAATCCCTCTGAGTTGAACAGTCCCGTCTGTGTTGAACAGTCCCCTCCACCATGTTGAACAGCCCCCTCTGAGTTGAACAGTCCCGTCCGTGTTCAACAGTCCCCTCCCCCATGTTGAAGAGTCCTCTCTGAGTTGAACAGTCCCGTTCGTGTTAAACATTCCCTCTGTGTAGAACATTCCCTCTGTGTAGAACATTCCCTCTGTGTTGAACAGTCCCCTCTGTGTTGAACAATCCCTCTGTGTTGAACATTCTCTCTGTGTTGAACAGTCCCTCTGTGTTGAGAACAGTCCCCTCTGTGTTGAACAGTCCCTCTGTGTTGAACAGTCCCCTCCACCATGTTGAACAGTCCCTCTGTGTAGAACATTCCCTCTGTGTAGAACAGTCCCTCTGGGTTGAACAGTCCCTCTGGGTTGAACAGTCCCTCTGTGTTGAACATTCCCCCTGTGTTGAGAACAGTCCCTTCCGTGTTGAACACTCCCGTCCGTGTTGAACAGTCCCCTCCACCATGTTGAACAGCCCCCTCTGAGTTGAACAGTCCCGTCCGTGTTAACAGTCCCCTCCCCCATGTTGAAGAGTCCTCTCTGAGTTGAACAGTCCCGTTCGTGTTAAACATTCCCTCTGTGTAGAACATTCCCTCTGTGTAGGACATTCCCTCTGTGTAGAACAGTCCCTCTGGGTTGAACAGTCCCTCTGTGTTGAACATTCCCCCTGTGTTGACCATTCCCTCTGTGTTGAACATTCCCTCTGTGTTGAACAGTCCCTCTGTGTTGAACAGTCCCCTCTGTGTTGAACAGTCCCTCTGTGTTGAGAACAGCCCGTCCGTGTTGAACAGTCCCGTCCGTGTTGCGAACAATCCCTCTGTGTTGAACAGTCCCGTCCGTGTTGAACAGTCCTCTCCCCCATGTTGAACAGAACAGTTCCTCTGTCTTGAACAGTCCATCTGCGTTGAACAAATCACGTTTGAAAGGTTTAGTAAGGCCTTGAATGCTGTAACCCTGATCAAACAACTTTTGAGCAAGAGCTGTATGATAATCTACACAAAACATTGATGCCACCGTAACAGGTGAATACAAGGAAGAGAAAATATTTCCATGGGAAGGAGTTATATTGGTAGATTTCAGCTCCACCTGAAGATATATTCCCTGCCTGAAGACCAGCGTAGGGGGCCCAACTCAGTCCCCGGCTCAAATCACTCAAAATTGACATAGGCGTAGGCTGAGAACACTCCAGTGTGTTTTAGCCTAGGCTGAGACCACTCCAGTGTGTTTTAGCCTAGGCTGAGATCGCTCCAGTGTGTTTTAGCCTAGGCTGAGATCGCTCCAGTGTGTTTTAGCCTAGGCTGAGATCACTCCAGTGTGTTTTAGCCTAGGCTGAGACCACTCCAGTGTGATTTAGCCTAGGCTGAGATCGCTCCAGCGTGTTTTAGCCTAGGCTGAGATCACTCCAGTGTGTTTTAGCCTAGGCTGAGATTATTCCAGTGTGTTTTAGCCTAGGCTGAGATCGCTCCAGTTTGTTTTAGCCTAGGCTGAGATCGCTCCAGTGTGTTTTAGCCTAGGCTGAGATCGCTCCAGTGTGTTTTAGCCTAGGCTGAGATCACTCCAGTGTGTTTTATCCTAGGCTGAGATCACTCCAGTGTGTTTTAGCCTAGGCTGAGATTACTCCAGTGTGTTTTAGCCCAGGCTGAGACCACTCCAGTGTGTTTTAGCCGAGGCTGAGATCACTCCAGTGTGTTTTAGCCTAGGCTGAGATCATTCCAGTGTGTTTTAGCCTAGGCTGAGATCACTCCAGTGTGTTTTAGCCTAGGCTGAGATCACTCCAGAGTAATTAAGCCTAGGCTGAGATCACTCCAGTGTGTAAAGCCCAGGCTGAGATCACTCCAGTGTGTTTTAGCCTAGGCTGAGATCACTCCAGTGTGTTTTAGCCTAGGCTGAGATTACTCCAGAGTAATTTAGCCTAGGCTGAGATCGCTCCAGTGTGTTTTAGCCTAGGCTGAGATTACTCCAGTGTGTTTTAGCCTAGGCTGAGATTACTCCAGAGTAATTTAGCCTAGGCTGAGATCACTCCAGAGTAATTAAGCCTAGGCTGAGATCACTCCAGTGTGTAAAGCCCAGGCTGAGATCACTCCAGTGTGTTTTAGCCTAGGCTGAGATCACTCCAGAGTAATTAAGCCTAGGCTGTGATCACTCCAGTGTGTAAAGCCCAGGCTGAGATCACTCCAGTGTGTAGCCTAGGCTGAGATCACTCCAGTGTGTTTTAGCCTAGGCTGAGATTACTCCAGAGTAATTTAGCCTAGGCTGAGATCGCTCCAGTGTGTTTTAGCCTAGGCTGAGATTACTCCAGTGTGTTTTAGCCTAGGCTGAGATTACTCCAGAGTAATTTAGCCTAGGCTGAGATCACTCCAGAGTAATTTAGCCTAGGCTGAGATCACTCCAGAGTAATTTTGCCTAGGCTAAGATGACTCCAGTGTGTTTTAGCCTAGAGTAATTTAGCCTAGGCTGAGATCACTCCAGTGTGTTTTAGCCTAGGCTGAGATTACTCCAGTGTGTTTTAGCCTAGGCTGAGATTACTCCTTGTCCTCAATGATGCCTAGTTTGACACGAGTGAGTAGAACTCTTGACCCCAGCAGCGATAACTCACCTGAGACACTAATGCGAAGTTTAGATAGTGCGAGCAAAGACCTCTCGCATTTTTCGCATTTAATTCACGCTCGCGTTAATTTCAAGATATACAGTATCTATTCGTCCACTCTTTTCAGACTTACGAAAAAACGAATAGTTTCATTTAAAACTGAAATATCTGATATCTGATAAAATCTATTTGATCATGATTCATATGCACGAGATTATGAAACAGCATTTAGCAGAGATTCATGGAAAAGGTTTTGCCGTGTATCTTAAAGGATTGAATAATAAACTAGTTGAACAAAAAAATTTTTTGGTGTTTTAATGCTTATAAATAATAACATTTACATTTTCTACATGGAAATGATTTTATTATATATGGTATCTTTCCTAGCGCGTGTGTATGTGTTGGGTTGGTTATAGTCGGGAAAAGTACATGTTCCCTTCCAAACAAACACAGTCAAACTTTCAAAAATGAAACGGCTACGTGTGCATTATTGGAATCCTCAAAATGTCTACTTCGTGTGCAGCAAACGGATATCCAGATATCAACCTTCCTTATTAATGCGTCCTGATTTTCAGTGATCCATTTATGTAATTTTCACAGCTATGATTTTTACTCTCAGTGGAATCTGTTTTCTGGGGGGAACTTTATTCTCTGGCATTGACGTTTTATATCTCGACAACAATGGTGAGGTGAGGTGAGGTGAGGTGAGGTGAAATTGGGTTTAACGTCGCGTCCAAGATTATTGCACTTATATAGCGACGTGCATGTACATGTGTGTGTGTTTGTGTGGCTGCTTGTTCTAGTCCGGACTGATGCCGATTTATAGTGCTAGCCCACTGAGATACCATGTCACAGTTTAACATGAATACCCTACTCAGACACAGTATACTGACTCCGAGCCGACCAGTCTTTGTTTTAGCCACTTAATGCCGATCGCCAGACAGGGTAACAACAAGTTCCATCTTTTAACGTCTTTTGGTATGACGCGGCCCGGGATCGAACCCCGGACCTTCCGCACTCCGGGCGGACGCTCTACCACTAGACCACGGAGGTGGTTCCACATCAATGGTTGTTTACGACATGAGTATTGGTTGATAACAACGTCTCGTGTTACATAATACTAAATAATATTCTCTCTCTCTCTCTCTCTCTCTCTCTCTCTCTCTCTCTCTCTCTCTCTCTCTCTCTCTCTCTCTCTCTCTCTCTCTCATATATATGGGTAAAGATGACATAAGTCGGTTGTGACGGGTTCCATCGGTGGAGCAGGACACGCTCACCTTTTCGCGAACACCTGGTGTCATCACTATCTGATATTGATTCATAAACACATGCTCGTGATATAATCGGAATCGTACAATCGACTCTGGTTTTAGCAGAAATTTCTGATGAATATGGAAAAGGTTTTGTCGCTTTTATTTACATTTATATGTTATGGGAAGAGCGGACTGTGTTCGACAACAATATCCTCTGATTTCTAGTATTATGAAATCTAAATAAAGTAATATATTCACAAAAAGAAGGTCCAGGAGAAATATAACTTATACATATTTTATATGGGTAAACACGGTTGTATAGACGCATCGTATTTTCAGACGTTTGACATAATTGATAAATTGTTTGTTGTTTTACGCCGCACTCAGCAGTATTCCAGCTATATGACGGCGGTCTGTAAATAATCGAGTCTGGACAAGTGATTGATATCATGAGCATCGATCCCTTTTACGGCAAATATTCTATTCCGGATCTTCACGGGTAAGTTTGGGATTGAAATTCGGGCATGGAATCTTATGGGGACGATCATTTACAAATGCCGGATACTCTCTTTGGGACGGTTTACCAACAGACATACAGGATAGTGATCCATGCAAGTGTTCAACGTCCCTGTTTAGAAGAACCTTCAGATCTGAGACCGTAATTTCCTGGCAATTTCAAGCACCAGCACCGCAGGGTAAACTGATCTTATAACACATAGTGCTATACAGATTATGACCTTGCGCTAAATCAATAATTATCATTAACTTATAAACTTAGCTAATTGCACATCTTGTGAACGTTACCATTTGTAGACCAAAGAGCACAGGTATAATGCCGACAGACACGTTTATACATCTTGAAGCAAGGACCGAAATGTAATATTGTCTGTCGCTTACAAAGAAAATAGATCCGATTATCACATCAAAACACCCATCCAGCTGGAGAAAAAGACATGTAATAGTAGGTAGAGAAAACAATAAAGCATAAATACACACGTGATTTAATTCAACTTTTAATTCCACACGGTGATAAGATTTCTGATGGCACTAGGCACTGTGTAGTTGAACAGCTGAAGGTCGGGGTAGTATTTCCGCCATACACCCTCTAGAAAGGATGGCGGGATGTCTTGGTAATGGTGTCTGAGGAGGCTGGATGATTTCTCGTGGGGATAGGACGCTTGGAGGTGGACATCGGAAGGTGCACCAATGTGTTCCAGTATAATTTTAGTGGCTGTCTCTAACTCCTCATATTTTCCTATCAAGTCGTATTTAATATGACACACCTGACACAGATCCTCCTGCAGATGCCAATGCTCATTTAAGTCCTCTGCCTTAGTTTCCACTATATATTGTAGAAATTCGAAGAATGACGGATGAGGATCTTTCTCACGACCTTGGTCATGGGCTATTTTCCTATACTTCCTGACTATTCTTCTTCCAAAGGCTGAAAAGATCCCGCCACTTGCCGCGACACTGAGCTTATCCCTATAAGCTGATATGAGTCTCTCAAATGGTTCACGCACAAAGACGAACTTGTAATAGGTCTTCATTACTGTATCTATGTCCTCGGGTTGAAGATCTGATAAATAGGTGAGATATTTTTTATACCCGTGCTGAACGTCATATTGACTCAACTTCAGTGCTGTGGATGCATTCAGTTTGCCAGAGAGAATGAGGAATACACGCTTCCAACTCGTAGTAGCGACCTTCGGGGATTCGCAGTAGAGAACGTTGTACCGATGATTCACAATGATCCTCTTGTACGCATTTGTGGCTCGATCCGATGTCAACCCCATTTCCTCACATATTTTCTCAATCGAGTCTTGCCTGCTTCCACCCTAAGACAAATAATTTGAACATGCGAGAGAGTGTATGTATGTGTTTGAAGCCGTTTAAATTAATTCATATTTTGTATTGTTTAATCTATGGTAATAATATCATAATATCAATATACTATTGAAATAAATACTGTCGGAAATGCTTTTCTGGCTTCATGAAATAAATACCAATCATAGGGCTATGTAACTATCATATATCAAAATAACGTAAATCTACCTAATCTAGCGCCTATCCTAACTGACAATATGAGTGGCCAAAAAAGGTGATCAACCCTTTGACATGTGTGAGTTTGAATGGTTTGTCATGTCTTGCCACGAACCCTTTACAGTTAACCCAGATGAGCTAAATAGGGT